GCCTCTTTGAATGTCTGGATGCTGTCCTGTGGGAAAGGGATCCTTCTTCGTGACTAGGGCTAGAATGAGAACAAGAGGGTAGAAGTTGAGGAAGGTGGATTTCAGCTCATAATAGGCAAGATCTGGTCCTGCGGAGTGTTCACCTGTGGGCAGGGCCACGGCCAGAACAACACAGGCTATTAGCCCGATGGTCCCAGGTCCCTTCTGATCCCAAATCCCACCACGTGAGATCTGGGTTGAGCATCAGAAGGGATTTCTGGGTCTGCTCTGGGGTTTTCCCTGACTGACGCTGTCTCCCCAGGAACTTGTGACCTATCCTGGCAGCAAGTTCACTGCCCTGGATTGTCATGCAGGCTCCAATCCAAGCTCCTCAAGGTTGGGGCTTTTGGGGGACTGTCTCCCAAGGAAGAAAGGGCAAGCCATGGTGTAGATTCCAGATTCTGTTGTGGACCCGTGAAGATAGCAAGGCCCCAAATGAGGTGTTTGTGCTGTGTCAAGGCTGCCTTTATTTATTTATTTATTTATTTTTAAAGATTTTATTTATTTAACAGAGATTGACAGCGAGAGAGAGAACACAAGCAGGGGGCAGTGGGAGAGGGAGAAGCAGGCCTCCTGCCGAGCGGGGAGCCTGATGCGGGGCTCGATCCCAGGACCCCGGGATCATGACCCAAGCCGAAGGCAGACGCCCAACGACTGAGCCACCCAGGCGCCCCTAGGCTGCCTTTAGAACTCTTTCTTTCTTGATGAAGCTCAGAAGATGTGGCAACTGCAGGAGAGCTTTTGGCCGGGCTACCCAGGGCTGCCACCTAGTGGGCAGGACCGAGACTGGCAGCAGGGCCTTTGCTCTGCAGAAACCAGTCCGTGCCTTTGGAGCCAATGGGGTTCTCACCTGGCTTAGGGGATGTGCAGAGTTTAAAACATTTGAAGTGATTTATTTTTTTATTTTTTAAAAAAGATTTTTTTTATTCATTTGAGACAGAGACAGAGAGCAGAAGCAGAGGGAGAGGGAGAAGCAGACTCTCCACTGAGCCGGAAGCCCGACACGGGGCTCGATCCCAGGACCCTGAGATCATGACCTGACCCAAAGGCAGGCGCTCAACTGACTGAGTCCCCCAGGCGCCCCTTGAAGTGATTTTTTTTTTTTTAAAGATTTTATTTATTTATTTGACAGAGAGATACACAGCGAGAGAGGGAACACAAGCAGGGGGAGTGGGAGAGGGAGAAGCAGGCTTCCCGCCGAGCAGGGAGCCTGATATGGGGCTCGATCCCAGGACCCTGGGATCATGACCTGAGCCGAAGGCAGACGCTTAACGACTGAGCCACCCAGGCGCCCCTTGAAGTGATTTTTAATTGGAATGTTTGAGGTACTGTCCACAAGTCGGGGCAATCCAGTCTAGAAACTGGACCTTTTTCAGACACAGGTAGAGACACTGATTGACCCAGAAATCAGGAGAACTCTCCATTCGCTGTTTGTGTCCTGGGCACATGTGGGCGTGGGTCCTTGTGGGACGCCTGTCTATGTTGTGGGTCCTGCATGGGATGATGTGCTTGGTGTCCTTCAGCCCTCACTGTCTGCACCTGGAGACATTCAGTTGTCCTCACTTTGTCCTGGACTTGGGCTCAGTTCTTACTCGGTGATTTATGGAAAAGAATAATGTTATATTCCCATGCCACAACATACAGGAAAGATATTCCAAGTAGTTTAAAGATTTAAATGTGAAAAGTAAAACTGAAACTTTTTAGAAAAAAAAATAGAGAATCTTCATGATCTCAAGGTAGGAAGGAGCTTCTTAAATAGAACAACCAAAGCCCAAACCATAAAGGAAATGATCGATAGATTTTACTGTATCAAAGTGGGAAACTTTAATATAACATAAGACACATATTGGGAGAAGATTTTGTAATAAATACAACTGGGAAAGGATTAGTACCTGGAATTTAAAACTAAGTCGTATAGGAAGAAAGGAGGAGAGAAAGGAGCAAGTGGGGAAGGAGGGAGGAAGGAAAATCAAGGGATGCGGCCAGGCAATTCATAGAAGAGAAAATGTGTATAGTCAGTAGGAGTCATAAGGAGAGTTGCTCTCTCTAGTAATTGGGAATGCAAATTAAAAGAGCCCTTATTTGTCTATGAGATTGGCAATACTGTTAAAGAAAAATCTGACTTTCACAATAGCCAAGAGGTAGAAACAACCCGTGTCCTTTGACAAATAAATGGATGAACAAAAAGCAGTACATACATACACTGGAATATTCATCTTTAAAAAGGAAGGAAATTCTGTCACATACTACAGCATGGATGAACCTTGACATTATGCTAAAGGAAATAAGTCACAGAAAAAGAAACACTGTATGATCCCATTTGTCTGAGGTACTTGGAGTCGTCAGATTCAGAGACAGAAAGTACAGAAGGAGGGTTGGGGGGGAATGGAGAGTTGTTGTTTGATGGGGACCTAGGTGCAGTTTTACAAGATGGAAGAGTTCTGGCGGTGGGTCGCACAACAGTATGAATACACGAAACACTACTGAAACGGACGCGTAAAATGTAAGAAATGGTGAAGACCGTGATGGAGACCAGGGACACGTCCACCAAACAGAAAAAGAATGTGCGATGTGCTCATGTAGTGAAATCCTGCCTGGCATTACTTCCCTGCGTCTCCAGCGCAGCATGGAATTAACGGAGCTTTAGAAACGTTTACCAGCACGTAGGTGGTATAAATAGAAGGTTGTGCATGGGAATGGGTGGCAGCAAATTGAGGGGAGTGATCCATTCTGGAGGGGATGAGAGGATAAAAGGAGGATGTGGCGGGGGATTTAGGGACAGCTGAAGTGGTTTATTTGGAGAGCAATTTGAGACATGTGACAAGAAAATCAGGATTAGAGCTAGGCGGCAAGTACTTAAAATCTTGTTATATTATGTGCGCTGCTTTTCTGTATGTTTGGAATATACTCTACTGTTTGTTTGTTTGTTTGTTTGTTTGTTTTTTTCAGAAAAAGACTCTAGACGGTAGAGTGGGCTTAGTGGTTTTCTGACGATTTCACAATGTGCAGTTCTGATCTGCCACAGTGAAAGCATTTTTACAAAACAGTGAAGGTTTTAAGTGCCCGAGGAACCTATGTACTGCTTTTTAAAATGGGTTTGTATTTCAGTATCCTTGCCTTGTAAGATAAGATTACCTTTGAAGGGAAGAGTTTTGCTAAAAAAAGAGAGAGAAGAGAAAGGGAAAAATACTGCCTGCCCTGACTGAGCTGATTTCTGGGGTACCCTTCATCTCCAGCAGTCTGTACTGTCTTATTTTTAGTCTTAAGAGTAAAAGTCTTACTTTTACATGTCCCTTTCAGTAGTGTTTCATGCATTCATAATGTTGAGCTAGTGCTTAGGTCTTAGAGGAATAGAATCCCTTTCCCTGTCTCTGTGATTTTGACTTTTAGCTCTTTCCTGTTCATTGTCTTTACTGAGGGTGAACCCTCCCTTTAAAGGGAGTATTCAGTAGTCTTAGGTTCTGGATCTTGGGGCTGCAGAAATCTGATAACTCAGGGTCCATGCTGAATAAGCAGATGATTCCTGGCCTGTTGCAGTTGGAACGGTTAAGCAAGCTTTTCTGGTTGAGTCCTATCATTTGAGGAATAAAGAAACCGAAACCCAGAGATGTGGAGTGACCCACCCAAGGGCTCAGATCCCCTGAGGTGCTTAGCAGAAGTCAGCAGGCCCCTGGCAACCAAATGACTCATTTTGTTTTTTATTCTTGAGAGCAGCTTGAGTGAACTTCAGTATCTGTGATTCGGAGTAGAATACTGTCTTGCTTAAAGCCCTCCCATGGTTCCTATCTCATTCAGGATACAGTCTTTGTTTGCCATGAGCCTTGAAGTTGTGTGCCCACTCCTGCAGCCTCATTTCGAATCCACTCCTTGTTCACTGGGCTCTGACTGGAGCCCTGCCCTCCTCTTTGTGCCTAGAACAGGTGTGGTGGTTCTTGCCTCAGGGCCTTTGCACCTGCTCACCCCTTTGTGCTCTAACTGCTGTTCTTCATTTGCATCCAAATTCAGAAGTCACCTTCTTAGAGAGGCCTCCTTAAGCCTTAGGCCTTCTGTCTTTTCTCAATAGCCCTTATTATGCTCTGAAGTTATTTTATTTATTATTTTTATCTCTCTTTCTCTTTACCTGTCTACCTACCTGTCTCTGTGTGTTTGTATCCTTGCATGAGGATAAAAGGTCCACAAGCCACAGTCTTTATGTGTCCTGTCCAACATCACCAGCATCTAGAGTATATTAGATACTGGTATTGGGGGTCCTCAACACCTCCCCCAGGTTTGGTGATTTGCTAGGAGGAGTCACAAGACTCAACATATAATCATACTCAGGGCCAAAATTTATTTCAGGGAAAGCGCACAAAGCAAAATCCACAAAGGGAAGAGGTGCATGGAGCGAAATCCAGAGGAAAGCAGGTGCAAGTTTCCAGGAGTCCTCCGCTGTGGAGTCACATGGGACACACTTCTTCTGTCATTGAATTGTGACCTACTCCTGGCCCAGGGATTTTACTGGGCTCCTGCCTCCTGGGCACCCTCTGCCTAGCATGTACTGAAATTCTGGACTCCCAGAAGAAAGCTTATGCTTAGCCTAAGCCACACTGTTCGTCCAGTCCAGGCACCAGGAGCCCCTCTGACCACTTGAGGAGCGTTTTACCTGAGTGTCAGGAACCTGCCATTCAGGTTCCCGGATGCCAGCCAAAGGTCAACTTGTAAGCAGGCCTTTCTTAGGATAGAAGTCTCGGGCCCGCTTCAGTAACTCCTTTCTGCACACTTAAGAAATATTTGTGAATGAGTAAATTGACCAGTATGACAGCAGGGCCTTTGGAATCAGACCTCAAGACTCCTGAAGGCCCGAAGGTGTGGCCTCCCCTCCTTTGTCAGCAATACTATCCCCAGACGGACTGACGAGAGTGGTGCGTCTGTCCTTCCTCCTGTCTTCAGGCCCTTGGTAAGTGTGACGCTCTGATCCCCAGGTGTTGAAGCTCAACGGGTCATCAGAAATTCTCAATAAGCTGTATGACACGGCCATGGACAAGTTGGAGGTGGTCAAGAAGGACTACGATGCCCTGCGGAAGAGGTACAGCGAGAAGGTCGCCATCCACAACTCCGACCTGAGCCGCCTGGGGCAGCTGGAGGAGGAGAACCAGCGTCTGCTGAAGCAGGCCGAGATGCTGACGCAGCAGAGGGACACGGCCATCCAGCTGCAGCACCAGTGTGCGCTCTCCCTGCGGAGGTAAGAGCCGCCCCGCCGCCCCGCTCCTGCACAGGGAGCGGCCACAGGGCCGAGTGGGCCGCCGTTGCCTTAGGACCCACTTTCCTTTAGGGGCTTACTGTTATCTGCAAGGCTCCCCCCACTTCCAGGGGGTTGGCGGCGGGGGGGCAAATGGCCTGTGCCTTTTCAGGCAAAAAAAATATTTTTGGAACATTTGGGAAACATTTTGTTGGCACTCGGTGTGGCTTGGGAATTGTGCTCCTTCCTGCCATCCGAACAGCTCTGGTGTGTTCTGCCCACCCTGTTTCTTAGGTCTCCCCACAAGCCTCTTCCCTGTGTGTCACCCACCCGCCCAGCAAACAGGAGAGTGTATTGTCCTAGGCACTGTTCCCTCTAAAATTTCATTTTTTTTTCAAGGTGTATATGATCTAGGGAAGTGACCCATGCTCTCAAACAGTGTTTGGTAGGGCGCATTCCTATGGAACACCAGTCCCCTGGAGCTTTCACTGGTGTCCTATGCAAGGTGTTCTCTGGATGTAAAAAGGATTAAGAATTGCTGAGTTACACTCAGACAGGTGTCTGCACTGCAGGATTTCTCAGAGCCTTCCCTCTGGGACTCTGCACTAGCCACTCCAGGAGGGGACACAGTGTTTCCCAGTGTAGGCCATCAGAGAACACACATTCTTTTTCAGTGGAGTTCCGTGAAGAGTTGGTATTCTAAAGAACACGCGTTCAGAAATGCTGGTGGAGAGCTGCGGGTTCTGACTTGCAGGGTTGCCTGTGTGGAAGGTGCCTCCCGGCCTGGAAGGGCTGAGCTGTCCTCTTGCGCCAGTCACCCACACCCAGGCCTTATCGTCTGCATCTGGGAAATGAGGTGGTCAGACTAAATGATCGTTAAGGCCATGTTTATTTCTTATATGCTGTGGTTCTAGCGTTGTTTTGTTTTTATTCTTAAAAAAGAATGTAGCTTGACTATGGAAGAAATACACTGTTATTTCCAGTAGAGCAGAAGGCATGAAGTCCTCAGATCAACTTGTGGTATTTGTAGAAGGTCCAGGGGCACCAGCGCCGCGTGACTTCCCTCTCTCAGACGTGCGGGTGACCTTACTCGAAACTTCATGCTCAAGTGTCCAGGACAGCAGTGCTGCCTGGGCAGCCCCCCACCCCCACGTCCCAGCTGCCTCTCTCCCCCAGGTTTGAGGCGATCCACCATGAGCTGAACAAGGCCACGGCCCAGAACAAGGACCTGCAGTGGGAGATGGAGCTGCTGCAGTCCGAGATGACCGAGCTGAGGACCATGCAGGCAAAAATGGCAAAGGAGTCGGAGAAGTACAAGGAGGAGCGGGATGCGGTATACAGCGAGTACAAGCTCATCATGAGCGAGCGCGACCAGGTCATCTCCGAGCTGGACAAGCTGCAGACCGAGGTGGAGCTGGCCGAGTCCAAGCTCAAGAGCAGCACGTCCGAGAAGAAGGCGGCCAGCGAGGAGATGGAGGCCCTGCGGCAGGTGCGCAGGGGGGCGGCTGGCCTCCTGGCCTCTGGGAAAGCGGTGTGAGTAGGGCTAGAGCGGATGGCTTGTCCTGTTAGGCCTACATGCTGGGTTATCGAGTGCCCCCTGGGTAGCTGCTGAGCTCACACTTGGGGCCCAGCTCCAGTGTGGGCTGCAGGGCTTGCAAAGGGAAGTCCAGCTGTGGGCGGGGCCTTGGAGCTTACAGAGACACAGGCAAGTCAGATGACACACACAGACATGCATGGACTCCGCACATGGACACCCCACACCCAGCCCTTGGTTAAGTGACCGTAGATCAGCCATGTGCTGACGGTCAGTGCACATCTCAAAGACTTGCTCATTGGGAAGCAAGAGCCCAAGGCCAAGTGCCCAGAGCCATCGATACCTTGACCTTGTGAATGCAGAAGAGCACCCTCAGGGACGCCACACACACTGCCCCTACCGTGCCAAATAGCTGAGGAGTCTGCTCTTTAAAGGTCTGGGCTCCTGCTGGGAAGATGTACTAGGCTGAGCCCAAGGCCCTTCTAAAGCCTTGCTCCCTGGGCAACATGCCTCAGGGTCAGGGGCTGGAGTTGAGTGGCATCAGAATCGGGCCACTAAGCTTGACTCCTGAATGATCAGCAAGGAGTCTCTTTCCTACCTGAGCCACTTTGGCCTCATTGCTGACATGATTTCCCCCCAAGTCCAGGTGTGCCCTGCTGGGGCTTGTATGGGCTCATGGATTCCTTCTATTTGAGATTCCCTTCCCGTCCTGTTGGTTGGTGCTGTGGCTCACCTTAGAACTGCTGAAATTGATCGCAGCGGACTTTTTTCCCACTGAAATAGTCCTCCACTCCTGCCTCTTTGTTCTGCTTGCTGTGCAGGTCAGTTACAATGCAGCCTTTAAGACTGGTCTGTGAGAAGTGAAAAGCAAGGTGTTAAAGGTCAGGCAGGTAGGCAGGGGGGCAGCGTGCATTAGACTATTGCGGCAGAGCCCTTGGGACTAAGCCCGAGGCAGGGCTGACGCCCGAGGGGGTGACTGGGGCCTGTGAGTCTCTCTGCAGACAGTGATGCCTCCTTATGCCCAGGCAGTGCTCAGGGCCATGGGAATGCAAGGGATAAGGGCTGTGCTTGGAGAGTGGCACTCCTCAGTTATGGGATCTCTTGCCTCTTTGGACCTCGGTTTCCTCATCTACAAAATGGACACGAGAGCAGTGCCTCACGGGATAGCTGGGACCGTAGTTGTTTACTTTATCGTTAAGATGATAGTTATGCCCATCCAAGTCTCACTGCCCTGTTAGGATCGGAGTGAACCCTATGAAATTGTTTCTGTAGGCAAAAGGGGGCCAAATAAGAGCGATTTCATACAAGGGGAGTGAGACTTCTCCAGACCTTGAAGGAGAAACCCTCGTGAAAAGGAATAGGAGCATGATGAGGGCATTTTTAATAAGCAAAGATAAAGTATTAGAACTTGGTCATCGTCCTAGAGAAACCATCCCCTCATTTTTACATTCCGACATCTGAGAGCTGAATTGTTGGGGAAAATGTCGATATTAAATAAGGAAAACAAAACGGTGAAGCAGAAAACTGTGAGTCAGTCACTAAACGACACAGTCAGGGAGAACGTGTGACCCGCCGAGAAGGTGTTGGGCCAGCAGCCCCTGGGTTCCAGAGGTTCACCGTGCTCGGTGGCGGCATGGAAGGGCTCTGGGCCTCCCGCAGCGCCGGCAGCTGAGGGGGTCTGTCGTGTGTCCCCCCCAGGTCCCCCCGCCTTTTCCCAGCACTCCGCATGCCCTTCAGCCCGGAGCCGGTTTCCGGGCCTTCGCAGGGGGCATTGGCTGGGTGTCAAGTGTGCCTGTCAGCTGAGGCAGGAATCTCGTCTCGGCACCGTTCTGAGTCAGCAGGCCAGAGTGGAGAAGCCCTGCTCCCACCCCGGCAGCTTCCAGAGCTGAAACCCTCGGCTCCTTCTCGAGTTTGTCTGGCTTTTCAGACAAGACCACGCCCCACCTGGCCAGAGGAGGCCACGTGTGTGGCCGTGGTCATGCTAGCCCTGAGGTGTGGTTGGGACGAGGCCCCTTGGGATTAACCTCATCTCTCTCTCTCTCCAGCAGCCGCCTCATGGTGGGGTCCGCTGAGGTGGGCCTTCCAGCCAGGCTGCCTCCCTGATCTCGCAACTGCCTTCATTCTGCTCAGCTAAGGAAGTGGTTCTTTTCTTTCTGACAGACTGTGCATCCTCTACACTCTTCCCTTCTCTTTGCTCCTTCCTCTTTCCTCTCTCACCACCCTCTGCCCTCTCCCCCCTCTTCTCTGGAGTGGGTTGTGGTGAAAAAAGGGCTTCAGGGGGCCTGTCCGGGTCTTTGCCTGGCTCCGGACGCTGCCCTCTCTCCTGCTTGCCCCCTCCCCGAATGGGCATGTCCACGGGAGCTTCCCCGTCTAGGGCCCCTGTCCCAGCCTCTGGCCACTGGCGACCGGGTGCGATGAGGACTCACTGCCTTCAGGAGGGTGGAGGGACTGCCTGGGGCAGCTGGTGTCTGCCCCTGGGAAGCTGTGGGGCACCGCTGCCTGACTCAGAGGTTCTTCCAGATAACAAGTTATGTCCCAAGACCAGCGTCTCCACCAGAGCTCCTGTCCCACGTCCTCACCTTCCTTCTGGCCCTGAATGCAGCTGTACCTCTGACGTCTGTGCTGTTGGTGGAGCTGAGCTCAGGCCGCGTGTGAGGGAGGGAGTACTGTTGGAGGTGGAGGACAAGCAGCAGGGGACCAGGAGGGCATTCCAAGAACATTCCCACATCTGGGGAGGGCTCTGAGATACTGCCCAGCTAGAAGAGACGGGCGTGCTCAGGGAGAGCTGTCTGCTCAGGGAGCACCGCCCTCTCCCTGGGACCCTGGTGTGCCTCCGCGGGGTCATTCTCATTGGCTTCGGTGCCTGGGCCGGGTGCGTGTCTCATGAGCACCGGTCCCTGGCTTCCCGAGCCTGCAGCCCCCTGGATCACCCACGGTGGACAGAAGGAGATCTCGGGTGGTGCTGTTGCAGATTAAGACCTGCCCCTTGGAGATAGCACAGTGTAGAGGAGGAAGCACTGAAGCAAGAATTGGGGGACCTGGAATGGAGTTCAGCTCTCCACTAACGGGTGGGGCCTGGGCCAATCACTTCCTGGGCCCTGAGCATCCTCATCCGTGTTATCAGGATCTCTGCTCCCAGTTCTACTGTGCCTTTACGATGCCCCGTTGTTCTTCTCCCCTCTCAGTAAAACGAAGTCTTGTACTTCTTGTGTTTCTCATCTGGAAACGGTGTTTTGGGAGTGACTTCATTTTGGGGACCAACCATGGGGGCGGGGGGAGGTGGGGAGGGGAGAGCATGGGAGCTGCCTAGCTCTGGTGCTGACCTCTCATGTCCCCCTTGTGGCCCTCACCTGGAGACGCTTATCCAGGGCCAAGTGGAAAGACCTTTCAGTGGAACCACATGGTAACACATTCCAAATATAAAACTGTATTAATATATTATAGAACACTGAGTAAAATGTAAATTTAAATAAATGTTATCATTAAACCTATTCTTTATCATAATAAATTCTTGACACCTTTAATAATAATAATCGGTTCTCAAAAAATAGCAAACTGAGCAAACCCCCAGCGCTGCATGAAAGGGGGAAAAGATCAGAACGGAAATAATTTGAATTGATCTTGAGAAATGTGGGATGTGAGCCGAGTGCACCAGCCACTGTCACTCTGGAGTTAAGGTGTACTTTCTGGGCAGACTTTTCTCCAGCTCCTCCTGACTCTTGACTCTACTTGAGAGATGCAGGGTGGTTGTAAGGTGACTCTGTATTTTCCTCTGTCTCCCCCTTCCTCGTCTCTTGGCTGAACCTCTGGGATCTCTCTGAGAGCACCTGAGCAGAGGTGGCATGACGGGCTCACTGTGACAGGTGGGCCGTGGCTCCAGCAGGGGCCTACTTGCTGTCTTTCTCTTCCTTCTTCCTACTGCTCAGAGGTAGGGGTGCCCGGCACACACACAGCAGAGCCTGTTCCTCTTGTGTCCTGTTCGTGTTTTGCCTCTGAAAGCGTTTGAGCAGAAGTGGGAATGCCTCCTGCAGTAGATGCTCCCTTTGTTATTTTCCCCGCGTCATCTAAGGATTCTCAAGGTGCAGAGGGAGCTTTTCCCTATGAGTGCTTCCGAGAGTTGGATTCGAAACGGTAGCCAAGCATGTAATGCTTTGGGAGGTGTCAAGATGCAAATGTATCAGATTTCAGCTTTTTAAACAAACTGAGACACACAGGACTTCACCAGCAAAAATACTGGTGTATTTTCAGATTTAAAAATAACTCTGTATGCCAGAGCATAAAAATGAGTATTGCAGACCCAGGGGGTTGGGAATCATCATGATTGATGTCTGCACCTTTCACTGCATTCAGGTCTTGTGTCGTTATGTTTTGACAGGAGAGCTCTTTAGAGAGACGAGGTGGGCTGTCTAAGATAGGAGTATGCGAGTGGCAGGGAGGAGCCTGGGACAAGCGTTCCGGGGGAGGCATTCTACCTGGGCCACGGAGACTGAGGCTGAGGAGGGGCTAGGGTTCTGGGACAGGCTCTGCAGGGCCGGGAGAGTTTGGACAGGACCCTACCTAGTGTCATTAGGTGTCTCGAGTGTGGCTGTGGGACAGGTAGTCCCAGGGGGTGCAGGCGCAACAGGGGTGTGTTGGGATGGGCTCAGGCTAGGATCCTGTGTTTCCCTCCATCCGGCTCCGGAGGGTTTGGCCCCAGCACCAGCTAGAGGGCACTTCTGGACCAGTAGGCTCAGTAACCACCCCTCTGCTTACCCCTTGACCCCACTAGATCAAAGACACAGTGACAATGGATGCAGGGAGAGCCAACAAGGAGGCCGAACTCCTTCGAAAGCAGTGCAAGGCTCTGTGCCAGGAGCTGAAGGAAGCCCTCCAGGAGGCGGACGTGGCTAAGTGCCGGCGGGACTGGGCCTTCCAGGAGCGGGACAAGATCGTGGCGGAGCGGGACAGCATCCGGTACGGGGAAGCCCTGGGCTGGCGTGGGCTCGTCTCCCCGTGCCGCACTGGTTCGGTGGGGAGGGTCAGAATCACTTGCCACGTGTCCTGATAAGATGGGAGTGACCTCGATTCCTCTCTTCTCACCTGAGCCTTGCTCCATTGAGTTAGAGGTGCCCATTATGTCTCTACTTCCCTTTTCATTTCACCCTCAATGTCTGCGTGTGCACTGTGTCTGGATGAGACCCTCCCCCTGCCATGAAATGGTGCAAAGACAGGTTTCTTTCTTAGGGGACTTCTGATAAAATGGACATACCAAGAATGCATTCTTTCAGTTGTTATTCTGTGGGCACCTACTGTGTGCCAGGATCTTAGGTCCCTCTTACAAGGAGACCCTGGGAGAGAAACAACCTCCAAGGCTCCCAGACGGGTGTGATGCCCCCGCAGGGCCAGTGCTTGGGGGACCACGGGCAGCTTTGTTGGACAGGGCAGCGGGGGAGGGAGATAATATGGATGGTGAATTCCAGGGCCACGGTCAGAGCTGTGATGGGGGCATGCAGGGGCGGGGCGGGGGGTGGGGGAACAGGCGGGGAAGTGTCCCTGGAAAGCATGACCTTCAAGTTAGAACTTAGGCCTGAGTGGGATTTTTCCAGGTGGAGGGCGGGATAGGCATGGCCATGAACAAAGGCGTGTGGTGTGCCCGGGGCAGGGGCATGCTTGTGGACTTGGGAGTTATAGGAGAGGTGGCTGACAGGGTTCCTGAGGGCAGGCTGTGGGGACCTCAAGAAGGAAGCCCTCAGTATAGTCTTGATTCTTGGCAGGGGGAGAGCCATGAGGGTTTGTGGTGGTGCTTGTGATTTTCAGAAAGATCCCTTGTGGTTGTCGGGAGGAGAGACCACTATCTAGCAAGGCAGGTCAGGAGGTGAGGGTTCAGGGTGGAGGGGATTGGGGGCCATGGAGAGGTGGGGACCAGCCCTTAGGACCTCCAGTGGTAGGGTGCCATTCTGGGGGTGGCACAGAGCACACACTCCCCTGCTGCCCAGTCCCCTGTCCCTACCTTCTCTGCGAATGGCTGAGGTGGACTGGGGTCCCAGGAGCCACACGTCCTTTGGTGGGGAATTATCAGGCCTGCACTTTGCACCTGCACAGAGCTCAGGGCTTCAGAGATGCATGAGGCATGATTCTTGTCCGAGTGGGGAGCTCAATTTAGTTGTAGGGTCGGGGACAGCTCTAGAAAGGCCTGCATGTGAGTAGAGATGAGGCATGTGGTAGGTGCTGGAATCCAGGGACCTGCCAGGTGGGCTGGGGCTGGGCTGGGCATTCACCCAGGCACATTGAGGGTGAAACAGTGGGATGAGCACTGAACGTTCAGAACCCGTTGCCCAGTAACTGCAGAGATGTCTCTTTTCCTGGATCTCAGTGTCTTCTCTGCCCCTCGATGGGGTTGGCCTGGGTGGCTTCACCTCTAGACTCTCCAATGCTCCCTCAGTGCATTTGGAGGCGAGGTGGGCACCTGGGGTATTTGGGGGCTGGGGCTGCAGTCCACTGTAGGCTGTGAGTCCTCTGCCCCCTGCCCCTCACAGTGACCTCAGCCTCTGCCTCCTCTGCCAGGACGCTCTGTGACAACCTAAGGCGAGAGCGGGACCGGGCAGTGAGCGAGCTGGCCGAAGCTCTGCGAAGCCTGGACGACACGCGCAAACAGAAGAATGATGTCAGCCGGGAGCTCAAGGAGCTCAAGTACGTGGGGGTGGGTGCCTGCCTGCGGGGAGCGTGGTGGCCCCTCTCCTGTCAGGGCCGGGACGCCCTGCCTGCCGGCCCTTCACTCTGCCTCACTCTGTCAGTCTGTAGAATGGGTCTGAATGCCACCTCCGTGTTGTGAGTTAATGAGAAATTCTTAGACCATCACAGAAGATGAGCACGTGGAGGTGGGCAGGCACCATGTGCAAAGGCACATAGGAAGGAAGGTCTCTGTGCCTAGCCAATCCATTTGGAGACAGGCAAGCGTCTACTGTCCATTCATTCATTCATTCATTCCCTTTCTACCTCATTCATTCACCAACTCTACAAGGATTTACCGAGTGCCTGCTCTGGATGGGCCAGGCCTGTGGGAGGCCCTGGGGAAGCCACCAAACAGTGGACCAGGTCTCTACCCTGTGGGGCTCATAGCACATAGGAGGAGACAGACCACAGGTCGGCCAGACACAGCGACAGCTCCGTGAACAAGGTGCTGACATCATGATGCAGTGTTTGGAAAGCCCTCACCACTTTGCAGTCTGTTCTGCCTGTCGTGTTGGGATGCCCATTTGGAAGAGACTGTTTGGGGTGTCAGATAGCCTCCCCTCAGTTATGGCACTGCACCCAGGATTGTGATCTGAGACTTGGTGACCCGAAGGGGTGGGGTGAAGATACAAAGATCAGAGCTACAAAGGGAGATTGGCAGAACCCAGTAGCTGTCTCTGCAGGGTAGAGGCCGGGGCTCTCCGTTCTGATAGGGTGGTGTAGGGCGGTGAGGAGCGTGAGTGTGAACGTGCAAGCTGCACTTGCTGGAGCAGTGGCATTCAGACGGAGTGACAGCACCCCCCCTCCCCATTCAGTAACTCTAACATGAGCCAACCAGCTTCATTTACTAGATAAAAACCCAGAACTTCTTGGGCTTGGGTGCTCTAAAGAAAATCTCCAGCTAAGAGGCAAAGTGATACACTCTCTCCAGGGACCCACCTTCTGTCTAGTAAGTGGTGGGATCAAATTAAGGTAAAGCCTGGTCCCTGGGGGCTTGAGCACGGGGCGGGGGGTAGGGGGGAGTCGTGCATTTTAATGGAGCTGGAATTGCCTGGAACTTCTAAGAAAGTCGAATTCCACTTGTTTGTTCAGCATATCTGAATCTGTCCCTCCTCTTTGTTCCGGTGCTGGTGAGGAAGCTCCCGGTCTGCAGAGACAGCAGACATGCCCCAGTGGGTGAGAGATGAGCAGGTGCAGGGCTGGTGGGAGCTGTGTCCCGCAAAGGCAGCTTTGGGGCGCTGCCCTGAGGCTATATATACTTCTGGAGCTGGCCAGTGAGGGCACAGCCCAGACAAAGGTGTGGACCTGCGAGCATGTCCACTCGAGCAGGAACCAGGAGGAGGTCACGAGTGTGCTGGGAGCCCAGCGGGTAGCGCTGATGAATTGGCAAGGTCATCTGGGCACAGGTTTTAGGACGAAGGACGTCAGGTGCAAGTCACTGGGGGATGGTACAAGGTTTCTGAGTCTTTTTTCATCTCTTAACTGGGTCTATTCTGAGAGCTTAAGTTTTTTATTTTGGTCAAGTCCAACTTACTGATTTTTAATTTTTCATTTTTAATAGATTGTATGGTGTATGAGAACCCTTAACCTTAGCCCTACATCTAACGATTTTTTTTCCTGTATTTTCCTTTTAAATGTGTTACAGCTTGACCTTTAACATTTCAACCTGTGATACATTTTGAGTTACTTTTCATGTGAGTCATGGTGTCGGGTTGGGGTTCAGTTTTCTTGCTGTGGGTGTGCCCACATCACTGGTTGAATGCTGTTCTTCAGCCGAAGTACTTTTGTACCTCTTGTACCTTGTGGTAATTTCTGGACTCTTCATTCTGTCCCAGTGATCTCTGTGTCTGTCTTCCTGGCAGTTCTACACACTCTTGATTACTGGAGCTATAGAAAAAGTCTTAGAATCGAGTAGAGTGATTCCTCCCACTTAGTTTTTCATTTTCAAATTGTTTTAGCTCTTCTAGTTCCTTATCTTTCTTTCCCTCTGCATTTTACAATAGTCTCGTCTCTATCCACAAAAAGTCTTGCTGGCAATTCCTGAGGAGTTGCATTAAACCTCTGGATAAATTTGGGACGAATTTGGGTCTTTTTTGAAAAACCTCTTTGAAAACCCACTGATATCCAGGAAGCCCTGCCTGGCATTCTGCTCCAGATTTATTGGGAAACTGGCATGAAGTCCAAGAGCAAAAGGAGCCCCATTTAGCTTTCATGATGACCTTCGCCTCCCAGGGGACCATCACCATGGCTCTCTCTGTTCCTAGGGAGCAGATGGAGTCCCAGTTGGAGAAGGAGGCCCGGTTCCGGCAGCTGATGGCCCACAGCTCCCACGACTCGGCCATCGACACAGATTCCATGGAGTGGGAAACGGAAGTTGTGGAGTTCGAAAGGGAGACGGTGAGCTGCCTAAATGTCTTTTCTCCCCTGCTGTCCTGACTGGGACACTTTGGATGGGGGCGGGAGAGGATGGCCCCCTTGTGGGGTTTCCAGGTTCATGGCTGTCAGTTTTGGGGCTGCGGCTTTTCTTCCCGAGGTGCATGCATCCTTTCCCTGCAGTTGTCCACGCCAGCTTCCGGTGGGTTGGTCCCCGTGGCCTCTGCAGCGGCAGATGCTGGTGTGGTGCGTGGAAGGCAGAGGGCAGAGCAGAGCCCTTCTGCGGGGACAAGTGTCCACAGTGGCTGAAGGGGCCGATGGTAGCTGCCCCTGGGCTTCATCCTGGGGACCGAGTGCCCCGTCCAGCGTGGTGAAGGGGCGGTGCTCACAGTGGAGCGAGTAGCTTGAGGTTTAAGAGCCACAGGTTTCTAATCGCTGCTGTGTAAAGTGCGTGTGCTTCTCTCTTGACAGGAGGATATTGACTTGAAAGCGCTTGGGTTCGATATGGCAGAAGGTGTGAATGAGCCTTGTTTGCCTGGGGACTGTGGGATATTTGTCACTAAAGTGGACAAAGGAAGCATTGCTGACGGCCGCTTACGGTAAGAGGAGGAGGCCCAGGCTCCGGAGGGAAGGGGGCCCCTCCGACCCATTGCGAAGGACCCAGAGAGCCAGGTGGCAGTTAAAGGAGCGCACCCTGGGGTCTGAGGGCCTAGCAGTCTCAGGCCTGCAGGCTCAGCTGCTAACATTGTTCTTAAAGGAGACTGTGATTCACTGGCGCCTGTGATCTGACCATTCCTCAGGCCCCAGGTGCTGCCACTCACTTGTCTAGGTAGGAAAGGGCTCAGGTGTGGTATGTGCAGGAGTGTAGGGTGTGCATCGCATGCCCATTCCATGACAGAGCAATGATAATAAAGTACTATTTGCTGAGTACTGGCTTAAGCACTTTGTATAATCAATTCATTAATCTTTAAAATCCTGTGAGGTAGGTACTGTAGTGCTCTTGCCCCATTTTACAGATGAGGACACAGGTCCGGAGGAGGTAGGTCACACGGCTAGCGAGTGGTAGAGCCGGGATTTGCACCCAGGCAGTCTGGCTCCAGCCTCTGTGAGTGTAGCCATTTGACCATCCTGAAGAGGAAATCTGTCCGAGTGTGTATGTGGGGCACCCACTTTCTGCCCCTCGTCTCCCACACTGGAGCGGTGGGGCCTGCCCGCTGGTCCCAAGGCCTGTGAGGGCACTGAGCTGGCTCTGCCCCTCCTCAGGGTCAATGACTGGCTGCTGAGAATCAATGACGTGGACCTCATCAACAAGGACAAGAAGCAGGCCATCAAGGCCCTCCTCAACGGGGAGGGGGCCATCAACATGGTCGTGCGGCGGAGGAAGTCCCTGGGCGGGAAGGTGATCACACCACTGCACATCAACCTGAGTGGACAGAAAGGTAGTGGGCCCGCAGAAGTGGGCGGAGCGCCCCAGATGGCAGGGCACCCCTTCCTTGTGCAGAGGGGAGATGTGCGTTTTTGGGGGTGTTGTTCCAGGGGCCTTGATGCTGCTTAAATGCAGCGTGTGTGTTTCCCTGGCAGGGGGCTGTCTGGGTCCCAGGTCTTGCTGGTCTCCCGAGTGTTCGATTCACCCGAGCAGACGTGACTGAGCCCTTGGGGGGTCCGACCTGGCCTGGGTGCTGGGATGGGCAGGTTTCAGTCTGCTAACTTTCCCTTCAGAAGTTTATCTCACAAAGACAAGGTGGGACAACCAGAGGGCCAGGCGACCAGGGCCAGGGTTAACTGGGGACTGCCCGTGTCTGCCCTCTGTGGTTTTCGCAGACAGCGGCATCAGTCTGGAGAATGGTGTGTTTGCCGCCGCAGTGGTGCCTGGAAGCCCGGCCGCCAAGGAGGGGTCCCTCGCCGTGGGAGACAGGATCGTGGCGGTAAGCCTCAGGGCCGGGGCTGTCTGCCCCACGTGGACGATTAAATGACATCTGGGAGGTTGAACACGAGATAATGAGCAGAGTTTTCACGTTCACCTTGTTCTCTAATGTGAACAAACATTTCTTCCAGATAGTGTGTTTCTATTTATAGTAGAAAATCAGGAAATACAAAGAAGGTTTAGGAAGGAAATAAGAATCCCACTCATGGCTACCACCTTACAGATAACCTTTATGAACATTTGAAATATATTTCTGTACAGCCTTTATTCTACACATGAATGTATATTTACATCCGTTTTTTTTAAAGATTTATTTATTTGAGAGAGGGAGCGCGTGCGAGAAAGCGTGCATGTGGGGGGAGGGGCAGAAGGCGAGCAGACTCCCCACTGAGCAGGGGCTTGATCTCAGGACCCTGAGTTCACAACCTGAGCTGAAACCAAGAGTCAGATGCTTAACTGGCTGAGCCACCCAGGCACCCCTATTTATACCAGTTTAAAAAAGAAGATATCTGTGATTGATTGATTTTTATTTTTTTGTATGTGATTTTTTTAAAAAAATCTTTTTTATTAAACATTATATCCATTTATTTTTAAATTTCTTTTTTAATACCAGAGTAAGACGTATGTGTCATAAAATATTCAGGCGATACAAAAATGTATAAAGTGGTAGTCTGCTCTTTTCCCTTTAATCCTGCCCCTGGAGAAAAATCTCTGCACCCCGCCCCTGCACCCCCGTCGCATTGTAAGATGTGCTCCCAGCCAGATCATGAGTGCTCATACAAATCTTTATACACAGATAAATTTTATGGGCTTTGTTTTCTTTTTAAGTTATAATAGTGGGATCATCCTGCTATTCCACATCACGGATAGCTTTCCAAATTGACCCTCAGTACTTTTATCCACCTAATGGTGTTCTGATGTTTGGTTGTCTGTAGTTGAAAGCACGCCCCCTGGTGGACATATACATTGTTTTCATTTTCTGCCACTGTAGGCAGCCCTGCCATGGGCTTCACCTGTGTGCACAGCCCTTTTGGGGACACCGAATGGCATCCCTGGTGACCAAACCCCCAAAACGCTGTGAGATTATGGAGCCTAATTTAGTATCTCTAACTGACTCATTAAAATGGAAGTCACGCACTTTCCCCCAGCACACACACACAGTCCCAGTTGTACAGAAGGCACACATGACCATAACTCTTGCTCTGGTTCTAGACCCCCTTCTACCAGTTCCCACCCCGATGGCAGCGATTGTTAACAATGTATTCTGGTCCTACCCGCGCCCCCCCCGAAATATTAAAAACATTTGAATCTGCTTTCCTCTTCTCCTCCCCTCCCCTCTTCTCCCCTCCCTCTCCCCCTCCCCTCCCCCTCCCCTCCCCTCCCTTCCCCTTCCCTCTCCTCTCCTCTCTTCTTCTCCACCCAGATGGGATCATAATAGACTGAACTGCTAACCTCATTTCTTGTTTCCCACAGCCTGCCCTGAAGGTTGTTCCGTAGTCACATCGTTAGATCTGCCTAGGTCATGTCAGTAACTAATTAGCTGCTTATTCCTTAGTGGTGGCCATTCACCAGTCCCCCCGATGGACAGTCAGGACATCTTTGCTTTTACGAGTAGGGCTGCAAGGCCACCGTTACATCTGTCCACAGGGACCCACGGGAGTGTGCCCCGGCGTAATTTCCCTGTAGGGGGCGGATTGCGGGATCTACGGGCATCAGCATTTAAGAGTTGACGTGATCTCCCCCATGTGGTCAAAGAGATCATGGCCTTTTCAATCCTACCTGCAGAGGGTGTGGGAGCTCATTGCTTCTCATCTTTGCCAGTGTTTTTCAGATTTCGGGGGATGCCAGAATTTGAAAGCAATATGGCCATTGTGAAAAAATTTTAAGATGTGGATAAGTTGTAGAAAAAAAACAACCAAATGAATCAATCCATCACCCCAAAATAATCACTCTATTTTTTTAACTTTTGATTTTGAAATAATTAGAGAAATAATTCGATTATGACATTAAATAAATACTATTGAGAAATAGATAAAGTGGCGACGGTAGTATGGGGAGGTCCTGTGTACCTTTCATGCAGTTTCCCCTGTCAGTTACATTTATGTGACTATATAATATCCAAACCAGGCAAACAGAGTCGTGCATGTGTAGCTCTGTGTCATTTTATTATCACGTTTTAAGTAACAACAACAACAAAATTAAGATACAGAGCTATTCCACGGGCACAAAGATCTCCCTCTTGTTACCCCTTGATAGAGGCATCCATAGCCCTGCTCTCCATTCCCCATCCATAACCCTTGGCAACTAATTTGCTCTCCATCTGTATAATTTTGTCACCTCAAGAGCCTTATCTAAGTTGAATCATACGGTATGTGACCTTTTGAGATTGGCTGTCCCAGCATGATCCCGTGAGACCCATCAGGTGGCTGGGGGTACCATTAGCATGTTCTTTTTGCTGCTGGGCAGCATTCCATGGTCTGGATGCATCCCAGTCTCACCATTCACTGTTGCACATACGCTTCTTTAAAAGATGGGAACATATCTGAGAGAAATGTGGACAGAGGTGTAGGCCTGTGGGATTACGAGAATCTTTGTGAACAGGAATGATAACATCTCATCTCACCTGACACTTAACAGTTTACAAAGGCCTTCCACACCATGATCTCCTTTTTAGGCTCCTGACCCGGGGTCAGGCATGTTTATCTTCCATTCTGTGCGTGAAGGAGCTCTGAGCCATGGCCATGCCTCACACGGCAGCCAGCTACAGAGCCTGGTCATTCCCCATGACTGGGACCAGACAGGCACCTCCCCTTAACGTGATTTTAAGGCTGTGTGTTTTGTTTGCCTTGGAAGCCGCTTCACTGGATTTCTCAGGCCTTACTGGGGAGGGGCTTTCTCTCCTTTGCCAACTCCAGACTTGGGCCCCTTACAGAAGAACCAGGCCCACCGTCCAGAACGGGCTGGTAGAGACCCTGACCTGGTGGTGGGCCTGATGGCTCTCTGTTTGGCCCTAGATCAATGGCATTGCGCTGGACAACAAATCTCTGAATGAGTGTGAATCTCTGCTACGTAGCTGCCAGGACTCCTTGACCCTTTCCCTCCTGAAGGTAAGGACCCCCACCCAACACCGGCTCTGCTCTCATCGGCTGTGGGGCAGGCAAAGCCTCAGCTCCATATACCTGAGCTGCTACTCTGCATCGCTGGGAGTCCTTGAAAAAAAAGGTATTAATTTACAAAGTGCAGGGTGTGCATGGACCCTGACTGGATCCTGGTTTAAAAAGAAAAGCGAAACAAGACATGAGGGACATTTTGAGGACAGTGGTATACATTTGAATCTGAACTGAATAATGAGGTGATCTGAGAGACTCGGGCACACTTTGGGGTGTGTGTGGCCCGTTGCTGACCCTCCCCCACCCCATGGGGACCGCGCTCGTGGGCAGCGCCTGGTTTTGCGGTCTTACCCACTCTTTCTCACTCTCTGCGATCCCCACGTAGGTGTTCCCTCAGAGCTCCTCATGGAGTGGCCAGAACATCTTTGAGACCATCAAGGACTCTGATAAGATGCTGAGCGTCCGAGCCCACGGCCCCGAGGTCCAGGCTCAGAATAAACGGAGCTTGTTACAGCACAATAACTCCACGCAGACGGACATCTTCTACGCGGACAGGCTGGAGGACAGGAGGGAGCTGGGCCCCCCGGGAGGCAGCAGCTCCTTCCTGCACAAGCCGTTCCCTGGGGGACCCTTCCCAGTGTCCCCCCAGGCCTGTCCCAGCGCCTCTGAGCGCAGCCTGAGCTCCTTCCGCTCAGACACCTCTGGGGAGCGTGGCTACGGGCTGGTGGATGTGCGCAGCCGGCGACCACTGCTGCCCTTCGAGACTGAGGGGGGTCCCTGTGGGGCGGCAGAAGCCCCCCTGGATAAGGCAGACCCCGAAGGCTCCAGCAGCGGCGGGACCTGGCCCAAGGCCGTGCTGGGCTCCATAGCAGGGCCCGAGAAGCTCTCTGTTTATAAGAAGCCAAAGCAAAGAAAGTCTATCTTTGACCCTAACACTTTCAAACGCCCCCAGACTCCCCCCAAAATAGACTACCTGCAGCCTGGCCCTGGGTCTGCTCACTCCCCCCAGCCCTCCAAGAGGATGGGGCCTCTGACGCCCCCAAAACCTCCCAGGAGGAGTGACTCCATTAAGTTCCAGCACAGACTGGAAACCAGTTCCGAGTCTGAGGCCACTCTGGTGGGCAGCTCGCCGTCCACCAGCCCCCCGAGCGCACTGCCCCCTGACGTGGACCCCGGCGAACCCACGCACACCTCACCCCCTCGCAAGGGCAGGGTCCGCATTGCTTCCAGCTACTACCCTGAAGGGGACGGGGACTCCTCCTACCTGCCTGCCAAGAAGTCCTGTGACGGGGACCTCACCTCCCAGAAAATGGACGAGCTGGGGCAGAAGCGCCGTCGCCCCAAGTCCGCTCCTAGCTTTCGGCCGAAGCTGGCTCCTGTGGTGATTGCTGCTCAGTTCCTGGAGGTGGGGCTCAGCCTCGGGGTGGGGACGGGGCGAAGGCACGGGGAGGGGCCCTGAGCTGGTGTCCCCAGCGTCGTGCTTAGCCCTGGCTCCTTTGCCTTTGCTCTAAGCACCTGTCCGAGGAAAAGGGGAGTGGGGTGGCCGGTGGATGCTGGTGGGAAGGAGCCTTCCTTAGGAGACTGGAAAGGGATGGGTAGGGGGGTATGCATGTTAATGGCATATGATGCCAAGACAGGAACATTTTCTTGGCTGTGGTGTCTGATTTGCTTTTTCATCAAGAAGCTTTTGAACTTGCACAACAAAAGCAAGGGACACGGACCAGCCTGGAAGGGTCCGGGGGGGCCAAGGTAGCACCTGGGAATCTGTCGGCTGGCAGCAGGAGGCTGGTCCATGTCCGGTGGGCTGGTTTTGGTGGGTGCTGGGTGCTGTAGTTGTCTCCAGATGGGAGCTGGAGACCACATCCATACGACTCTGCAGACGAAGACCCTCACCCAGCCATGCAGGTTTTGAGGAGCCGTTACATACATGTGCCTGACGCACTCATGCATTCCGCGTCTTTACCCAGTTTGTTTACTTGAGAGACCAGGTTCTTTCTCTGTGGTTTTCTTCCAGAGTAGTGTCGAAGGAAGTTCTTCTCTTCCGGTTGCTTGAGGCAACATGAATGAGCAGTGACCTCTCCTGACTGTCACGTCGTGTGTCCGAGTGGACGAGCTAGTGCTTAGGGGACAGACCTGCAGACACCTGTGCATGTCCATTTCTGGCCACTGTCTCTTGTCTTGGGTCCTGCAGGAGCAGAAGTGCATCCCGGCCAGTGGAGAACTCTGCCCAGAGCTCCAGGAATGGTCGCCATACTCACCGGGGCACTCCAGCCGGCACAGCAACCCCCCATTCTACCCCGGCAGGGCATCTGTGGGTGAGTCATCGGGGCGGGGAGGAGGGTCCATGGTGGGCTTGCAGGGCTGCTCGTTCCTGGGGAGAGTGGAGGCAGTCATTTCAAGGTGCCTCTGTGTGTCCTCAGCCCAGAGGTCCAGAAAACTAGCAATGGCTGCCCTGTCTGGGATGTTCAGTCTTGTATCAGGGACATTTCTTAGCTTTTCAGGGCCCCTTTTTTCCATAGCAACCTGAGAAATAGGAAGCAATAAAGCAAGTTCTCCCATCTTACAGATGGAGAAAGCCAAGAGCTTGCACAGGTCTGGGGCTGGCTGGGTGCTTTGGGTGATTGTTCTTACCCAGCCCATTTCTAGGCACTGTACCCTGGAGCATGACCCCGAGCACCACTGTGAGCTCCATCCTGAGGAACCCCATCTACACCGTGCATAGCCACAGGGTCGGCCCTTGCAGCTCTCCACCTGTGCCCAGAGAGGTCGGCCCCCAGGGTTTGCATCCCAGGTATGTGAAGTCACCCCATACCTCCCTGCACCCTGGGCGGCCAAGCCCCTGGGCACATGAAGCCACTGGTGCACAGAGTGGCCCACGGGCAGAGAAGTGTCCTTGCCTAGCCGGGAAGGGGCTGGTTAGAGCAGTGCTGGGGCCCCAAGAAGAGTGAACGCTAAGGATCCTCTCTTCATTCCTAGCATGGAGCTTGAAGAGGTATTTAAAGAGAGAGAGAGTGATGGCAGCTGGTGCTTAAGTGCTCACATGCCAGGCACTGTGCTGGGACCCTTGTAAACCTCATCTCGTTCAATGGCCACCACAACCTCATGAGCTAAGGACTGTTGTTGGCTTTGTTTCATGGATGAGAAGACTGAGCCTTAAAAGGTGAACAGACTGGCTCAGGGTCACCCATTCATTCATTCAGTTGTTTGGCAAATTTTAATTGAGCACCTACTACATGGCATGGACTTTTCTAGTTCCAGAGGGATATAGAGTGGAGAACTAAATCAACTAAACTAGGTACTTTTCATGGGGCATTTATGTTCGAGTGTGGGAGGCAGACGGACAAGACGGGGTGGTACCAGGTGGTGCTGGGTCGCTCTGAAGACCACAGAGCAGGGTGGCCAGCTAGGTTGTGGACGAGGATGGAGGGGAGGGCCCTGGGAGGGGCGGAGGGGGGTGCTACCGACATCGGGAGGCTGAGAAGAAGCCAGCCGCGCAAGACCTGGCTCAAGTCCCCAGGAAGGAGGGCTGTAGGAGCCACAGACACCTAGGAGCAGTGTGCTGGGCTCTGGGACAGAGTAGGGGAGCATGCATGGGCACAGTAGGTCAGGAAGAGCACACAGGCTATAGGGCACGGATCCTATAGGGCCTGCGGCCATGATGTGGAGTTGGGATTTTTTTCTAGTCTGGGCTTTAGGCAGGGAAGAGACAGTCTCATTACACACCTAGACAAGGACATTGTTGGGTCTGATTGTAGGCCTGCCCGAGGTGGGTGAGGCCTGGGCTCTCTGCCCTCCAGTGTCCCAGGCAGCTGTCCTGAGCGAGGTGTGCAGGTCCCCGTCCGAGGTCCTCGATGCCCATCCAGCCTCTCCCGCCCATCCTGGAGGAGAGGCTCCACTTCTCTGGGCCCGGACAGGGTTCCGAGCCTGTTCTTCCTGGCGGAAGCCCTTGCTCCTGGTGAGCCCAGCCCTGGTGCCAGGCTGGAGGTGTGCCACTCCTCTGCAGGCACAGCAGGACCTTTCTCTGTGGGCAGGGCCCTCGTTGGATGCGGCCTGTGAGTGTGGCAGTCCGCTCTTCCTACCTAGCGGCGAGTGGCTTCTGTGGGCTCAGGGAGGCCTTGGCCCAGGCCTGCTGCTTGTTTCTCCCCAGTGGCCGTGTCCAGGCCTGGTGTTCCTCCCGAGCACCTCACATGTCTGGTTTTCTCGCAGCGTCCAGCACCAGGGACGCCTGAGCCTGGACCTGAGCCACAGGGTTGGCAGTGACTACTCAGATATGAGAGCCTCCCACGGGTCCAACTCTCTGCCCTCCAGCGCCCGCCTTGGTAATGGTACCACTAGAACCTTCTCACCATAGTGGGGCACTAGCCTTGATTCCCTCTCTACCTGCATCCTCATGGCCAGACTTCCAGGTGGCCTGCCCACCTGGACCCTTCTCTGCTTCTGGGCCCGAGGTTGGCCCCACACTGCTCTGGGAGCCTTCTCCTTCAGCCTTCTGTGTCTCTTAGGCTTTCCCTGGCAGCCATGCGGCTATTCCAGGGGACCTCTGGGCCCACGATTCTCGCTTCCTGTCCCTGAGCTTGTCCATGAGCCTGTCCATGATTCTGGGGGTTTGTAGTGCTGTTCATGTGTGGGAAATGCAACCCAGAGGTAGAGACCAGCGGTTACCTCATAAAGAGACTCAGGTGGCACCACTTCCAGCCACGTGGAGTGGAAGCAAGCAGTCCCCTCTGTCACTGAGATTCGTGTGATCCTGTTCTGGAGCAGTCCAGACCCGCACAGTTCACTCAGATCACTGGGTACTGAGTATCTGCTTTTCTTGACCGGTTCACACTTAGCCCCCCGGGGGATACATGGCAAGGCCGCTTTGCATTTGTCATGACTGTGCTTCTTCCCTAAGTACTAACGTGGTGGCGAGGGAGTGAGGGCAGTGTTCAATCACATGCCTGAAGTTTTGTCTCCTCGTGGAACTGTAGGGTCTTCGAGCAACTTGCAGTTCAAGGCGGAACGCATTAAAATCCCGTCAACGCCAAGATACCCCCGGTCCATTGTGGGCTCCGACAGAGGTGAGAACTCGCACTCCCGTCCTAGCCTGCCGGCTCGCACTGGTCTCGTGGTGCAGCGGCTGGGCACAGCGTGTAACCTCCTCCTCTGCTCAGCCGGTCCACGCAGGCTGGTTGAGCCTGGCTGTCAGGTCTGGTGACGTGGGGCTAGATAGAAAGGCCATGCAGAGCCCAGCCCCCGAATTCAAGGCCATGTGGTGTGGCCGCCGCGTGGAGCCACGTGCCTGGGTTGTGCCTCCCTCTTGGTCTGGGCCATGGGGGAGCGGAGATGCGGATTGCAGAGCCCAAGTTCCTTTGCACCTCTCCCGACAGGTTCGTTGTCACATTCGGAATGCAGCACACCTCCGCAGTCCCCCCTGAACATCGACACCCTGTCCTCGTGTAGCCAGTCGCAGACCTCAGCCTCCACATTGCCCAGAATTGCCGTCAACCCTGTGGCCCTCGGGGACCGGAGGAAGGACAGGTGAGCACTACTGAGCATCTGTCCCATGGGCACGGCAGTGGGTGGCACATCCCTACAGCAGGCCAGGGCTTGGTTGAGGGAGTGGGCTTGTTGGTAGAAGCAGCAGGTGCATTGGAGGGTTCCAGCTGAGTCGATCCCAGGGCGAGACCTCTCTGCTTCGGGTCACCTAGCGTTCTCTGGTGTGCCGCCTCAGCCCTTCACGAGGAAGCCCTGCAGGTGCATGGTGCCAGGAGGTGGGGTGCACATAGACAGCAAGGTGAGGAGCAGGGTGGGCTCCTTCCACAGAATGTCCACGGGAGGGGCTGAGCTGCAGCAGATGATGCTGGGGGCCACCTGGCCGAGATGATGTGGTGGCACCATTCACTGCTTCCCTGACCCCTGATTAAGCACTTTCCATGTGTTAAGTCATGAAATGCTCACAGTGACCCTGTGAGCATCGTGCATAGTCATCATCGTCATCATCATTGGTTCTCTTTTACAGATAAGGAAACTGAGGCCAGAAAGTTGGCGTGACCTATCTGTGGTCACATGGTTGGTGATTTGCCTACCTTCCTTAGAATCAGGGCTCGTTCTTATTCTTTGCTTTTTGGCTCCAGAACACAGCTGCATCACTTGTCCCCCTCATTCCTAGGCTTTTTATTGTGAAATAAAACATGCTGGAAAAAAATGTATGTAAAAGTATAGCTTAGCCATTTATTGGTTCGTTTTGAAATGCTGGCCAATCTGCTGAGATTTTGGGTTAACTTGAGGCTGATGTCAGTCCAGACGGTTGGACCCCATCCTCTAAGGGGTCCCTCACTCCCCCCACAAGCTCCACACCCCTCACCCACCTCTGCTGTTTCAGAGTTGAATTTACCAGATCATATTTATAGTTAAGAGGTCCTGTCTAGATTGTCAGTCTTCAGGGGATCTGATTAAACTGGAACTTGCTTTTATTTAATCACTTAAGAGGAATGGAGCCACTCCTGTCCACTCAAATCCAAAATGCTGAGGGCCCTCATTTCTGAGCCATGGAAGGAACCCTGCAGGGTGGGCTCTGCATTAAGAAAATCATTTGACTTGAAAAATCTGAATTTGTAAGACAACCTAACAGGTACCCTGACAACCATTGAATATTAACGAGCCCAGAAGTGCACCTGGGCCCGTAGGGGAAGCAGGTGCAATTCATGTGGAAATGTCTCACCCACGTGATGCACATGGGAACACAAACCTGCACCAAGTCCCCGGGTTGGGTGGGGGAGTTGTTTTACTTGACCCCAGGTCAGGTCACTGAGCAGCAAGATCTTCCGCCAACTCAAGTGGGTTCCTTAGAAGCAGAGAGGGCCTGTCCCCTGCCATCAGGTATCCCATAGTTAGCTCCTACAGCGTGCAGAGAACCGGGAGCTGCTCTGGGGAGAGGAGGGTGTCCACGTTCCTGCCTTCACGGTGCTTCTGATCTAGTCAGAGGCGTACAGTTTAATGTGTGTGACTTGACTGAAAGGAAAACAGCTTCTTCCCCCCGATTCTAACGTACATTATCGTGTAACTTCTTATTAGAGGAAACTGGGAAGATAGAGGAAAGTAGAAAGAAGAAAAGTCACATATAATCTCCTCAGTTCCTGTTCCCCTTTTGTTAAGCATGTATATATGTGTATGTGTGTGTGTGTGTATATATATATATATATATTAAGCATATATATATACATATATATATATGGGCCCTTACAACTCCAAACTACCTGGCACTGTGATACGTGATGAGTCTGGAAGGGCATTGTAGTGCGGGTGAGTTTGGGAAGGGGAGAGGTGAAGGGACAAGTCAAGAAGGAGTTTGATCTCAGACTGCCAGAGGACTGGGCCCTGGGCGGTGGGGTCCCAGCCTGAGGCTCGCTGAGCTGGAGAGACTGCTGTGCCTCTGGGTGGCAGGGGAGGGGTGGCTCAGGGGCCTGGCTGTCCATCACTGCATGAGTCTGTCTCCACCCACGTGCTCTGGAGGGGAGCCCAAGGACGTGGCACTCCGGCTGGCTCCTCCCTTCACCTTTGGCTATGATTTTGTTCTGCGGGAAGAGCTCAGGGGCAGCATGCAGCACAGTCCTCCCGGGACGGCTCTGCATCACCTGGCTGCCTTTCTGTCTGTTAGATTCCAGGTGTCTGTCATCCTTCTCTGAGCATCCCTCTCTTCTTTCTAACTTTTTGTACCTTCCAGATGTCTCCACCACCACAGATTTTTCTTGAGACTGCCCGTGGCCACCAGGCCCAGGTTCTCCTCCCTGAGGAGTCTGAGGTTGGCCTGACATGAGGCCCCTGCCCAAGCCCCCTCGTGCCCTTGTCACAGCGGACGGCTCCCCACCCCCCCACCCCCCCTGGGCCAGCAAGTGCATGGTCCCCGCCTTGCTCCCAGCCTCCCCACTCCCTTTCTAATGGCTTGGGTTTGCAGCGGCTTCATTTCCATGGTCATTGTACATCACTGTATATACTGGTAGATATAAAAACTGATACTTTATATTGTTTCTTCTGGGTGACTGTTGTCCCAGGAGCCACTTCTTTTCCTCCTGGGGAGTCTGGAGACCCCACCAGGGTTTGTTCATTGCACATTTTGTTACAGCGACTCCTCTCACGTTATGAAACTCTTTGTGCTTTTTCCCTGCCTGTGTCAGCGTTCATAGTTCGGGTGGACCATTCTCTGTGTCTTTGGGACTGGGCGCTTCTGTGGCCCTTGGGGGCGTGTCGTGTTTGTATTGCATGAGGTTGCGGGAAAGCCTATCACTGCCACACGAAGGTGGTGTCATCGCGTTCCCACCCAGCTCTTCATTATAGGAGCATCCGGGGGTCCCTGGCCTTTCCTGCGTGGGTGATTGCATGCCTGACTGCAGACTTGCCCCAGACCTTTCCATTGTGTCTGAGTCCCCGCAACTGTTGGCTCTGTTCCAAGGCCCTATGTAGAGGAGCCACGTCACGTGAAGCTGCAGAAGGGCTCGGAGCCGCTGGGCATCTCCATCGTGAGTGGAGAGAAGGGTGGGGTCTACGTCTCCAAGGTGACAGGGGGGAGCATCGCTCACCAAGCCGGCCTGGAGTATGGGGATCAGTTACTGGAGGTGAGTGAGAGCTGCCCCTTGCACTGCCTTCTTCCCTCTGTCCTCTCCTCCCTTCCTGGGAAGAGCTGTGCTTCCCCGGTCCCCAGCCCCCACCGCGGCACTGAGCGTGCTCTGGATGTTCCCTAGTTCAATGGCATAAACCTGCGGAGCGCCACGGAGCAGCAGGCCCGGCTCATCATTGGGCAGCAGTGTGACACTGTCACCATCCTGGCCCAGTACAACCCACACATGCACCAGCTCAGCAGCCACTCTCGGTCCAGGTGAGCGCCTGGGCGTCCCATGGGGGGCCTCCGGGCTGGGGCAGGACAGAGGGTGCAGCCCGGGGGCTGACTGTGAGTTCCGGCCATTCAGCGGCCGGAAGAGGAGAGTTGGCCAGCCCCGGATTTCGGAAAAAGAACATGGAGGAGGAGGAGGATGTGAGGTGTAGGGTGTGGAAGCACATGGCTGGATCCCCTCCCCCCGTGCAGCAGGAAGCCCCCCCCACAGGTGTGTGGTAGCCAGGAACGGAGGCCCTGGGGGCGGGATTCTCACACAGAGGGTTCTGGCCCCTGTCCATGTCTGCCCCTGAGCTGTGGGTTGCCGGGCATGCGGGAGAAGGGGGAGACCTGCCCCTGCCACGCAGCACTGCGCAGCTCAGCCAAGGGGGACAAGATGCACAAACGGAGGCAAAGGGACGGTGAATTTGTGGGCCCCCAGCCCACACCTTCAGAGAGGATCCCCAGGTTGAGGACAGGCAGATCCTACAGGGTGGACGACCTGAGTCCCAGCTCCCGAGGCATCTGCTCTTCTCCGGGCTCCAAGCCCCGTGACCCAGTCCCTCTCTCCAGCCCCACCAGCCATGGTCAGCACCGGAGAGGGGTGGCTGAGGACGGCCAGGGACCGCAGGCTGCACCTTACTCCTCCTGCCCTCCATCCCCAGCTCCCACCTGGACCCTGCCAGCACCCACTCCACACTCCAGGGCAGCAGTACCACCGCCCCAGAGCACCCCTCTGTCACTGACCCGCTGATGGAGCAGGAGGAGGGCCCCGGCACCCCCCCGGCCAAGCAGAGCACCCCCAGTTCCAGGTCAGCCAACGCTTGCTGTGAGCCTTCTGTCTGTGCGCGCCGGCCTGGGGGGTGGGGCAGGCGGTCGTGGTCGTGGCCTGAGCACACCCTGCCGGCGTCCCCCCCTTCCCCTCAGGGCCACGGCTGGCCGCATAGCAGGCTGTCAGGCCTTGGGGTGGGAAGCATGCCATTCCTTTCCTCCCGCCCTCCTGCCCTTTCTCACTTTCTTGTTTTTTCTCTTTTGTTTCCTCGTTGACTTGTTCCTAGCTCTGCCTCTCTTCCTTTCCTCCTTTTCTCAGTTACTCGTGGTCTGTCTTTAGTCTCCACCCAGCCAGGTCCTGGGCTGTGGCCGCCACCAGCAGTCGCCCCCAGGGAGCTCCGGGGTTAGAGGGTGACAGGCCAGGGTCCAGGCATGTGCAGCACGTGCTGGGAGGGCCGGAGCAGGTCACGCGGGGCAGTGAGCAAGAGTGTGGCAGGGAGCAGAGCCAGTTAAGTCAACACGTTCAGGGTGAGCAGGGGTTAGCTGTGCACATGGGGGGAGCGGGAGGCATGGACAGAGGGCAGGAGGAGGCAGGGCATGCACAGGAGCCAGAGGGAAGATGGGGAGAGGGCCGCACGGGCCAGGGCGTGCAGCCATCGTTCCGTAGGCCCGGACCAAGCCCTGGCCTCCCTCAGAACGAGGCCCGCTCTGCGTTCCTGCCCTGGATCTGTCACGTTGGGACTTGGATGCGGTCACCACAGCTGGCCTGTCCCCAGGTCCCCATCGCTGTCCCGTTTCTTCCCCTCTGAGTGCTCACCAGTGTCTCCCTCACTGTGCTGTGAGTTCCCCGATGGCCAGGGGCCCCCTCTTGGTGGCGTAGCACAGTTCCTGGGCCAGAGAAGCTGCTCTGTACACGTTGCCAAGTGGTCTGTTGTGCCCTGGGCTGTGAGACCGGCTCTGACTTTCCTCAGGCAGAACAGGGTTAGGAGAACAGGTGCCGTCCAGGTGGGGAGAGAGGCAACCCCACGGCACTCAATGGACAGCTGGGCCAGAAAGCAGGGCACTGGTTTTCATTCGGTCCCCAGCTGGCTTTCTCAACTGGGGCTGTGTTTTCACCTCTATAAACCTCAGCTTCCAGCCTGTAAACTAAGTCGCTGGAGCCAGAACCCGGATGGGAGCGCCGGGAGACCTCATGGAGTAAAGGGAAACCTGCCAGGGCATTAGCCACTGTGTAGTCTTGCATGCCCTGCTCCCCCTGTCTGTGATTGAGGGACTTTCTTTTCCTTCCCCAAAGGATGGTGGGAGATGTCAACAAGAAGACCCCAGAGCCGCGAGTCGTCTTCATCAAAAAGTCCCAGCTGGAGCTTGGAGTCCATTTATGTGGAGGGAACCTGCACGGGGTGTTCGTGGCGGAGGTGGAGGATGACAGTTTTGCCAAGGGCCCTGATGGCCTTGTGCCCGGAGACCTCATCCTCGAGGTGAGTTCTGAGCTGCTGAGCGGCAGGCCCCGCCCCTCCCCGCCAGCCCCGCGGGCTTCCTGCACCCTCCAGCGGCACGGGGTGGCTGTCGTGCCTGGCGCCCCCTGGTAGTGCTGAATGCTGCCAGGACCCTGGGGACGGGTCACAGGGCCGTGAGCGGGGCCCTGGCTTGGGCACTGGTGTCGGGAGGGAGAATCCTCTACTGTGTCAGCAGCAGGACCATGGTCTGATGGAGCGTCCTCTCCCTCTTGCTGGGTCTCCCATTTGATGGGGGAGATGGTTCATAGGTATTCAAAGACACGGATACTATAAGCAAAAGGTAGTATAAGCAAGTGAGGGCTGTAAAAACAGGCCAGCAGACCCTGGCAGAGGACTCAGCCTTACCTGCAGAGGCGAGGCATGCAGATTCCCAATGAAGGGGATCTTAAATCTCTGCCTTATCCCACAACCGCTCGCTCACTGGTGCCGGACACGCCCCTGGCTTCTGCCCTCTGAGCACAGTCCCCTGTCCTTGTGCAGTATGGCAGTCTGGATGTGCGCAATAAGACTGTGGAGGAGGTCTACGTGGAGATGCTGAAGCCCAAGGACGGTGTCCGTCTCAAGGTGCAGTACCGCCCTGAGGAGTTCACCAAGGTCAGGGGCCTGCCTGGCGACAGCTTCTACATCAGGTACCAGGGGCCAGGGGTTCCAGGGATTTGGGGCCAGGGGAGGTGCCTTCTGAGGAGACTGGTCCTGGTGAGTGTCTCTGCAACACAGAGGGCCGGACTGTGGTCCTTGTTGCTTGGGCCCCAAACCACGTGCTCACGGCTTGTGACTTAGATGCTTGTGACTTAGGGAAACTTTGCTTGAGGGCCTGCAGGACCACATGGGCTCCCTCTTTAGGGTTTGGGGCTTGGGAAATTTTGAGGCTGCAGAGCCCCATTTTCCTGTGTGCTGCACTCCTCTCCTGGTCTCCCCCCACCCCACGTCGGCAGATCCGTCTGCGGTGTGTGTGGGTATCAGGGCACGCGTGTGCCCGAAGTACGGTATGACTTGTGTGCAGGTGGGCACAGGTACCAGGTGTTTTCTAGAAGGAGCTCTAGCTTCCTTCATGTTCCCTAAGCTCTGAGGCCACAGAAAGGAAAAAGCACCGAGCAGCTATGTACTGTGAGATACGGTCTCTGTCTCTAGGACACCCTCCTGGGTGGGAGATGACATATGTCCATCCTGGGGAGTTTCCCTTCTGTAGGAACCATTGACCTTGACTTGGCGGCAGGGAGGGAAGGCCCATTTGGAAGACGGGATATGGTCCTTGGCAAGACGTTCTGTATCTGATGGATGTGAGGCAGCCCTCGTCCCCAGGGAGCCCCTAGTCTTAGGGGAGGCAAGACAACGTTGTTCTGTTACATAAAGCCAGGGGTTCCCTTCTCTGGGAACTGCCCCCAGCATGGGGAGAGGTGGGTCCTGATCGTGGTCTGGGGAAAGCTCAGAGCAGGAGAGCTGTCTCAGGAGACTGGCTGCCAAAGTGTGCGGCTGGCTGGTCTTCCAGCAGCCGGTAGCCTCCTCCTGATCCTGTCCCCTCTGTCTCCTGGCCCAGGGCCCTGTATGACCGGCTGGCGGAGGTGGAGCGTGAGCTGAGCTTTAAGAAAGATGACATCCTCTACGTGGATGACACCTTGCCTCAGGGCACATTTGGGTCCTGGATGGCCTGGCAGCTGGACGAGAATGCCCAAAAGATCCAGCGTGGCCAGATCCCCAGCAAATACGTGTAAGTGTTCATGTCTGGGCTTGGAAGGGGCGGCGCCCACCCCTGGAGCTGTCCCACAGGATCGGGGCTCAGTTTGCTGTGCACCCTGGCGTATGGTCTGTACGTTTTGCCCAAACCGCTTGTCTAGAAAGCTGCTTCTAGTGCAGTGCAATGGTGTACGTAAGTCAGTGCTCTACAGAAGAACCGTGGCAACTTAGGAAACATGACTTTTTTATTTTTAGCAGATTTATTGAGATATATTCCTATACCATGCAGTCCACCCAAAGGGTCCGATTCAGTGGCTTTCGGTGTACGCACAGCCGTGCGCCACCATCCCTACTGTCATTTCAGAGCTTTCTTGTCCGCTCAGAAGCAGCCCTGCATGCGTTAGCTACCCCACCTGTCCTTCCGTCTTTCCTGCCCTGCTCCCCCACCCGGGGCAGCCACGACTCTACTTTCTATCCCTGTAGATTTCCCTGTTCTGGACTTTCCTGTGAATGTGGCCTTCTGTGCCTGCTTTCTTGCGCTTTACATAGTGTTTTCAAGGTCCTACCGTGTCGTGGCGTGCAGCCGTGTTTCATTCCCTTTTGTGGCTGGAAGTCTCACTTGTCATGTCACCAAGGGAAAGCTGTCCCAGCACTTCCTTTTGACTCTGACCTGAGTGTAGGAACTGGCCTGCTCTGAGAGCGTCCCCCAGCTCTGGTGCGTGGGTCCCCCCACGGCAGCACTACTGAGGGGTCCTCGGTGGTGTGGGTGGGTGGCATAGCCAAGAGACCTGCCGCAGAGCATCGGAGGAGCCTGGGGTCCTGGCTTTCCCCTCCGCATGGGCAGGGCGGGGTGGGCAGGAGGCGGTCGCTAGGCCCTTCCCAGCATCACCGTTCCCTGTGCCTGCAGGATGGACCAAGAATTCTCCAGGAGACTCAGCATGTCTGAGGTCAAAGATGACAACAACGCTGCAAAGACGCTGTCGGCGGCCGCACGCAGATCCTTCTTTCGAAGGAAACATAAGCACAAACGCAGCGGGTCCAAAGATGGGAAAGACCTCCTTGCCTTGGACACCTTTTCCAACGACACCATTCCACTCTTCGAAGGCAAGTGGCCGAGCTCACTTTTCCAGCAGGCTGTCAGAATTAGGCTTGCCACTGACCACAGAGACCGCACAGCAAGGACTTAGACAAGATAGAGGTTCACCCTGCTTTTGTACCAAAGTCCCGGTCGGGGTGGTGGTACTGCTGTCCTCAGGGTCTGCCATCTGTAGGGCGTGGCTTCCACGGTCAGCACGTGACGTTGCGGCGCCAGCCATCACATCCCGATTCAGGCAGCAGGAAGGAGGATGGGGCCAAATTGTGCCGCAGCTGAGTGTGCCTCCTTAAACTGCTTCCCTGGAGGTCCCACCCTGCAACCTCGACTCACTGCATCAGCAAGAGAGCCTGGAAAGGCGGGGTTTTAGCTGGCACCGTGCTGGCCTCAGTAACGTAGGTTCCATTAGTACAGAAGAAGGGAAGGATGGATATCGGACAGGCAAAAGCAGTCTGTGCTCAGTGCATTGCTTCTGGTTTCTTTGGGGGTTATTGTAGGCTGTTTGGTGGTAACCAAGAGCCACCAGTCTCTGGAGATCTTTGGCCTTTTCTGGCTTCATTCCTGTGTCCATGAACGATTCTTTTTTTTTTTTTTTTTTTTAAAGATTTTATTTATTTATTTGACAGAGAGAGACACAGCGAGAGAGGGAACACAAGCAGGGGGAGTGGGAGAGGGAGAAGCAGGCTTCCCGCTGAGCAGGGAGCCCGACGCGGGGCTCGATCCCAGGACACTGGGATCATGACCTGAGCCGAAGGCAGTCGCTTAACCAACTGAGCCACCCAGGCGCCCTCCATGAACGATTCTTACGAGATCTTCCTGGGCCAGGCACCGCACGAGGGCCAGAGCTGCAGATTAGGGAGTGTTAGACATCCCCCGGCCGATTGTCCTTGGAGAAAGCATGCCTTTGTCCTGGAAAGCAGGAGGCTCTTAGGACTGCCGCTCGTGGGTTCCTGGTGTGTGTCCAGTGTCCTAGAATGTTGCCCTCCCGGGCAGGCAGGCTACAAAGCCGGCAATGAGCAGCACACGATAGGACAGCTTATTTCATCCTTCCCTGCTCCCTTTTATATATATATATATTTATTTATTTTATTTTATTTTTTTCAATTTATTTGACAGAGAGAGACACAGTGAGAGAGGGAACACAAGCAGGGGAGAGGGAGAAGCAGGCTCTCTGCCGAGCAGGGAGCTCAATGTGTGGCTCGATCCCAGGGCCCCGGGATCATGACCTGAGCCGAAGGCAGATGCTTAATGACTGAGCCACCTAGGCACCCCACCTTTTTTATTTTTTAAATGAAGGCCTTAGGCCCTGGGAGTTGAGTAAGTCCCACCCTTGTTCGTGGCCCACTGTCCCTCTGTCAGGACGGGATGGCAAACCCCAGCTGGTGGGCCACATCTGTTTCTGTATGGCCTAGAGCTAACAGTGGATGTTTACATGTTTAAATGTAGTAAGAAAGGCCGTCTGTAGATGTGTACACCTTCTGGCAATAACAGTTGCTTGATATGGCCGTTTTTTCTTTCTGCAAAAAAATGCTGTTGGGATTTTCAGAGGGATGGCATTGAATCTATAGATTGATTCGGGTAGTATGGACATTTTAACAATACTAAGTCTTCCAGTCCATGCGCACAGGATGTCTTTCCATGTATTTGTATCTTCTTTGATTTCTTTTTGCCGTGTTTTGTAGTTTTCAGTTTGCAAGTCTTTCACTTCTTTGGTTAGGTGTATTCCTAAGTATTTTATCCTTTCTGATGTTAGTAAGTGGGTTTGTTTTCTTCATTTCTTTTTCAGAATGTATGTTGTTAGTGTATAGGAGTGCAACTGATTTTTGCATGTTGAATCTGTATTCTGAAAGTTTGCTGAAATCGTTAGTTCTAACAGGTTGTGTGTGTGTGTGTGTGTGTGTGTGTGTGTGTGTATTCTCTAGGGTTTTCTACATCGAGATCTGTCATCTGCGAACAGATAATTTTACTGCTTGTTTTCCAATGTGGATGCCTTCTTTCTTTCTCTTGTCTAATTGCCCTGGCTGGGATTTCCATTACTGTGTTGGATAGTCATGGCAAGTGTGGGCATCCTCGCCTTTGTTTCTGATCTTAGAGGGAGAGCTTCCTGTCTTTTGCCTTTGAATGGGATGTTAGCTACAAGCTTTTCATACATGGTTTTTGTTACGTTCAAGTAGTTTCCTTCTGTTCCTACTTTGTTGAGTGTTTTTATCATGAAAGGGTAGTTAATTTTGTCAAATGCATTTTCTGTGTCAGTTGAGATGATTATGTGGTTTTTGTCCTTCATTTTGTTAACGTGTATGACATTGATTGATTTTTGTATGTTAAGAACCATCCTTGCATTCCAGGTATAAATCCCACTTGGTCATGACATATGATCCTTTTCATGTGTTGCTGAATTCATTTTGCTAGTATTTTGTTGAGGATTTTTGCATCTATGTTCATAAGGGATATTGGCCTGTAGTTTTCTTGTTGTGTCTTGGGATGAATTTGGAAGTGTCCCCTCCTCTTCAGTTTTTGGAAGAGCTTGAAGAGGACCGGTATTAATTTTTTTTAAGTGTTTGGTAGAATTCTCTGGTGAAGAAGCCATCTTGTCCTAGGCTTTTTCTTGTGAGGAAGTTTTTCTATTACTTGCAGTCTCCTTACTTGGTATAGCTCTGTTCAGATTTTTTTTTTTTAATTTCTTCATGATGTAGTCATGATACATTCTATGTTTCTAGGAATTTATCATTTCTTCCAGGTTGTCTGATTTGTTTACATGTAATTGTTTGTAGTAGTTTGCGATAAACCTTTTCATTTCTGTGGAATCGGTTATCATTTCCCTTTCTTCTTATTCCAGTGATTTAAGTCTTCTCTCCATTTTTCTTCATTAGTCTAGCCAAGAGTTTGTTAATTTTGTTGATCTTTTCAAAAAACCAACTCTTGGTTTCATTGATTTCTTTTCTAATTGTTTTTCTATTCTCTGTTTATCTCTGCTCTTTATTGCTTCATTCCTTCTGCTCATTTTGGGTTCAGTTTGTTTTTTTCCCTTGATCCCCCAAGTGTAAGTTGGGTTGTCGATTTCTTCTTTCTCAGTGTCTGCATTTACCAATACACACTTCTCTCCTAGTACTGCTTTTGCTGCAGTAAGTGTCCATATGCTATGGTTTTGTCTTCATTTGTCTCCCGAAGTTTTCTGAATTGCCCTCTGCTTTTTTTCTTTGACACCTTGATTGTTTGAGAGTGAGTTGTTTAATTTCCATATATGAGTCTATTTTCCTGTTTTCCTTTTGTTGTTGTATTCCAGTTTCCTTCCATTTTGGTCAGAAAAGATACTTTGTGTAGTTTCAATCTTTCTTAAGTTTGTTTTGTGGCTTAACAGGTGGTCTGTCCTGGAGGTGGTCTGCCCTGGAGAATGCTCCCTGTGCACTTGAGAAGGATGTGTCCTCTGCTGTTGCTGGGTGGAGTGCTAGGCGCTCATCTGTGAGGCCCATTTGGTCCATAGTATTTGTGGTTCAGTGCTCTTCCTTATTTTCTCTCTGGTTGTTCTATCCGTAATGAAGGTGGGGGCATTGAAGTCCCTACAAATACTGCGTAGCTCTCTGTTTCTCCCTTCATTTCTCTCAACGTTTGCCGCACATATTTGGGAGCTCTTGTGTGAGGTGCATGTGTGTTTGTAATTTTTGGATCTTTCTGGAGAATTGGCCTTTTTATCATTACGTAATGTCCTTCTTGGTCTCTTGTGAGAGCTTCTGCCTTAAAATCCATTTGGCCTGCTGTAACTGTGGCTGCCTGCTCGCATAAGATTCCTAACTGCCTGAAATAGCTGTACTCTTTCACTTTCATTAGCCTGTGTGTGTCTGTAGATCTGAAGCGAGTCTCCCCTAAAGAGCATGGAGCTGGATCTTGTGTATTCGTCCATTTAGCCAGTCCATTCACATTTAAAGCAATTACTGATATGGGAGGACTTACTCTTGCCACTGGAATTGTTTTCTGTATGTCTTGGGTTTTTTTTTTTTTTTTTTTTTTTTTGGTTTTTGGCCTTTGTTTTGTAGTGACAGGTTTTGATTCCTTTCTCACATCCCTTTGTGTATATTTCACAGATATTTTCTTTTTGGCTACTATGCAATTACGTAAAACATCTTAAAGTTATAACAATCCATTTCATTATTTTTTTTTTTACGTAAGCTCCACGCCCTCCATGGCCCCGTGCTGGAACCCACGCGGGGCTTGAACTCATGACCCTGGGATCAAGACCTGGGCTGAGATCAGACACTTAATCAACTGAGCCACCCAGGTGCCCCTGTAACAATCCATTTTAAACTGATAACAACATGGGGCACCTTGGTGGCTCAGCCGTTAAGCGTCTGCCTTCGGCTCAGGTCATGATCCCAGGGTCCTGGGATCGAGCCCCGCATCGGGCTCCCTGCTCCGCGGGAAGCCAGCTTCTCCCTCTCCCACTCCCCCTGCTTGTGTTCCCTCTCTCACTGTGTCTCTCTCTGTCAAATAAATAAATAAAATCTTTAAAAAAAATAAAAAAAAAATAAACTGATAACAACTTAATTTCAGTCTCCTATACAAATTCCATGTTACACCTCTGTGTCCCCCTCCCCTTGATGTTGATGACACCTTTATATCAATGTATATATTAGCATAGATTTATAATTACTTTTGTGCTGTTGCTCTTAAAAACCTACTCCAGATTTAAAAGTGATTTACATACCTATATTACATTACTTTCAGATTCTCTATTTATATGTACATTTATCCTTCCTAAGGAGCTTTACATTTTTGCTGGTTGGATTTAATGACTTGTGAGATGCTCTGTGGCTCTCTAATTTTGTAATTATGAGGACTCCCAACGAAGCAGATTGTTCAGGAAGGAACAGGAATCTTCTAAATTGGTATCCCACTGCGTGGAGTGTTACTAGTCGTTAGAGGAGAGTATGATTCTTGCTCAAATAAGTTGAAGGCATAGAGAATTACTGTCCATACAGAGGGAAATGGGTGAATAGATGCAGTGTACTCATGCGTGGGAGGTTCAGAAGGAATACAGGAGAGCAAGATGAATCAATAGGGATGCATTCTAGAAACATAACACTGAGTGAAAGAGGGAGGTGCAGAATGTTGACGTGAGAATAACAAACATCTGGAAGGATATCCTTCCAGCTTCTAAGGCTGGTGGGGACCAGGATGGATTGGAGAAGGGGTGTCAGAGGAGCTGTTTGACTTTACCTGTAACGTTCTGATTTTTAAAAGAGGGATGTGTTCGTCTTCTCCTGGAGAAAGTCCTTTGCCCTGAGACTCCTCAGAGGCTTTAGTCAGAAATGCACAGGCATTCCTGGATGGTAGATGTGGCTACCAAACCCTTCCCTGCCGACCGGAACAGATCAGCTGGCCACCAGGTTGAGAAATGCTGTAGAGAATGCCATGGAGGTATACATGGATAATCATCAGTCCTTAAAAAAAAAAAAAATACATGTGTTGGTGTGGGTGAGGGAGGGGAGAGACTGCGTTTGCTTCCCCCTCAGGTCTGCCCACAAGCTTGTTCCTAGTGGAGCCCGGGCTGCACTTGGCCCCACGCCGTGTGCTCACCCACAGCCCCATCGCCAGTCAGGCCTTGTCGTTTGGCGGTGTGCAGGCCTTCCGGGCAGAGCCTCCCCTTGACCCTTCCCCAGAGGCCGCCCCAGCCCACCCTGCCCTCAGCCTGCTGTCCTGCCAGGCTTGGCCAGGGCTGCAGCTCCTGCTGCGCCCCTCCTGTGGGCCTGCCATTGGTCTCTTCATCCTCGGGGCCAGCACAGGATTCCTTTAACCCCTCTGCTCTCTGGGACCTCTTGCTCTGTTGCCTGGAGTTGTCGAGAGCTCTTGCATGGCCATTGGGGCTTTTCACGAATTTCTGTCTTGTGACACTGGTAAGCCTGTGTTTTGTATTCTTTCCAAAGTTTCTGAGGTGCCAGCACGGTGACCGATACTGAGGAGGTGCTGGTGTTAGGCCATCTCTTTTGGCAAGGACTTGTTTATTCATTCGGGAAAGGGGGGGTGTCCTACGCAGATTGCCGAGGCTATTGGTTTGACTTCTGTAACCGAGACCAGATAACAGTGGCCAAAGCGTGATTTCTGCGTCCCGTAAAAGTCCCAGCTGGTAACATGGCTCCAGGAAGACAGCTCTATCCTAGCAATCATCCGGAGACCCAGGTCCCGTTGGTCCTGTAGCTCTGCCATTCTTCTGAAGGTTGTCCTCATCAGCAGGGTCCAGGCTGGCTGAGCAGCCCCGGTCTTCTCCTTTTTAGCCCCTGGGAAGGGGGCAAGGAGGTGGGAGCTTCACTTCTGCCCACTGGGTCACATGACCACACCTGCCGGCAGGGGACGTTGTCTCTCTAGAGAGCAGACAATGGATAGTGATGTCAAGGGGAGCAGGCCTAAGACACGTGAGGAAGAATCGGAGCAGAAGGAAGTGCTGGAATGACTGCTCTAGGGTGTTCCCAGAGCGAGGACACTTGTGCTGGGCTGCAGGAGTGGCCGTGCCCCGGCGTGCCCGGGACAGGGGGGCTCTTCGCGCTATACCTGGGCAAGTCCCAGGTGAGCCGTGCTGAGCCACTCACCCGGCCTGGCTCGGGATTTGTGGACTGAGGGGGCGGACCTCCCTGGGGTGAGCAAGACCAGGGCAGCTGTGGGCCCCTGGCCTCCCTCCCTCCGCTCCGGGTGCGTGCCTGTGACACTGCCCCTCTCTCCCTCAGATTCGGTGAGCCTCGCCTATCAGCGGGTCCAGAAAGTAGACTGCACCTCCCTGAGGCCTGTCCTGATCCTGGGGCCTTTACTGGACGTGGTGAAGGAAATGCTGGTGAATGAGGCGCCCGGCAAGTTCTGCAGATGCCCCCTCGGTAAGGGGCACCCTCAGTGCCTGCTGGCCTCTGCCTGCCGGTCTCCTGGGGCTGGGTCCCTCGGTGTTTCAGAGCCCTCCTGACTCGGGTCACAGCAGTGTGTTTCTCTGGGAGGAAGGACAGGAGGACAGGTCTTCTGCACAGGGTTCTTACCCAGAGGGCGCTGCGACGGCTCCCCGGGCCAGGGGGCATCCTCATTCCTGTTTCTGTGCTTTGCAGAGGTGATGAAGGCCTCCCAGCAGGCCATAGAGCGGGGTGTCAAAGACTGCCTGTTTGTCGACTACAAGCGGAGGAGTGGCCATTTCGACGTGACCACAGTGGCTTCCATAAAGGAGATCACAGAAAAGGTACCCATTGCTTAGACCAAGGGTTAGGGTTTGAGCATTTGGGCCTGGACTCCCCCCCGCCCCCCGCCCCGCTGTGCCTCTGGACCTCTGCCCTGTGCGTCTCTTGGGGCTTCAGTGCACTTGCCCGTGTCCTTTTAGTCCAAGTTACCCTCCATCAGGGTTTGCCCCCATTGCTTCTGTGTGTTTCCACCGTCATAAACTGGGTGCTGGTCCCTGTGCACACATCACCCCTCTCCCTCTGAGGATTCGGATCTAGAGCTCTAGGAAAGCCCCCACATGGAGGATTCTACAAGAGGGTCCTGCACCTGCTCAGTGGGTGTGCAGAGCTTTATGTGTGCCTTATTCTGGGGACAGGGTGCCCAGCTTCCATCAGGGCCTCTGCCCCTGAAAGTGTTAAGAGCCATTTCTCTGTGTCTTTAGGCTCTTGAATGTACTGGGATCCGTTTGCCAGGGAGCGTGAGGAAAAGTGGGGAGACCTGTAAGGTGTATTGGAAAAGCAGACGTCGAGGGTGTACCCCTCGGGCCCTGTCCTTCTCGGGCTGCTCATTTCACCCCATAAGGCTTTGGTTTGCTCCTCACTGAATGAGGGAGGTGGCTTCTGGCAGCTGGGAGTATGGATTGCCCAGTTGAAGTGGATGCACTCCAGTTAGGTGTGCCCCAGGGAGTTAGAAACTCGGCTCGGCTGGGCTTCCTCAGTGGAGCTTTCGGGGTCAAGGAGAGCCCCATGCAGAGTGCCCGTGGTCTTTCTTTGGCTCACACTCCACCTGGAGGCTCAGGGGACCCCGGGACACGTTTCAGTCACAGTCACGCAGACACACACAACCCTTCCCCAGGTCAGGCCCTGCTGAGTCTCCCCGTCTTCATTTGCTCAATCTGGCAGGAGTGAGGCTCTTGAGGCCGGGTTGGGGTCGGGCTTCAAGAAGCTCCCTGTGTCTGGGCAGAGGCAGGAAGGGCAGTTTGGAGGTGGGCTGTCCAGACCCCATTCCGCCCTGGCTCCTAGCCTTGACCACCATCAGAGTTGACAGCTTGTGGGGAGAGCTTTTCTGGGGTGAAGCCCTCCACAGGTTTTCCTACGTGGTCTTCATACTAGACTGGTCCTCCTTGATGCAGGAGGTGGGGCAGTGTGGGAGAGAGGGGGGCCCCATCTGTGGCAGGGCCCCAGTGTCTTTCGGGCCATCCCCAGGCCCTGACGCATCACATGCCCCCTTTAGAACCGGCACTGTCTCCTGGACATCGCCCCCCACGCCATCGAGCGGCTGCACCACATGCATATCTACCCCATTGTCATCTTCATCCACTACAAGAGCGCCAAACACATCAAGTAGGTGGCTGGCTCCTCGGGGCTTGGTGGGCTGGGGGGGCTTGCTGGGGGCGAGGCTGCTGGCTCAGACGCCAGGGCGGTGCAGGTGGGCGTGGAAGAATGAGACGGGTGGTAGGTGTAGGAAACGTTCCGCATCTCCCGCTCACTCAGGCAGTGCTAACCAGGCACACTCCTCGACCGCACCAGCCCTTGTTCCTATGCGGTCGTTGCCACAGTTCCCTATGTGCGTCATTCCCTGTGCATCCCGTCCTTCTCTCCCCTTCTGCCTCTCAGCTTAGGGCTCCCAAGGACACAAAGCAGCTAGGTGACCTGGGCTGGGGCCGGTCTGCTAGGAGCTGGCTTGGGACGCAGATGAGCCTTTGCTTTCCCTGTGCTCCAGTTTCCGTGCTGGTTGGGCTGACCGCTCATCAGGGCCTCCCTCCGTTTTGCCTTTCTGTGCTTCCAAGCTTCTGGTCCCTGCACCTCGGGGCCAGCTGGGGTGTCTGCTTTCCGCGTGCATGCAGCAGGGTGCCCACCTTCCCCCCCATGCCCGGAGCTCCCCTTGGGGCCTGCAGGCTTGCTGTGCTTTACGAGGGGAGCACCTGGGGCCCTATTGTTGGAGGCCCTGTTACTCTGGACAAAGGAAAGAGGAGGGCCCGGGAAGGTGAGACACTCAGCCTGCTTCTCTGGATGTCTTACAGGGAGCAGAGAGACCCCATCTACCTGAAGGACAAGGTGACTCAGAGGCATTCCAAAGAGCAGTTTGAGACGGCTCAGAAGATTGAACAGGAGTACAGTCGGTACTTCACAGGTAGGTGTGCCTCTGGGCTGGAGAGGAAGAGTGGGCAGTGGGGACGGATGCCCGGTCGGTGCCGCCGCGGTCCCCTGCATCGAAGCCGTCCTGCTGGAGTGCTACGGGCTGACGAGGAAGGTTCCCTGGCCTCGTCCCCCAGGTGTTCCCCATGCAGTGGCAGGTCTGTGTCCCAGCAGCAGTGCTGTGCAAGAGGACTCCGGCGATCCCGGCAGGCAGCCCGGTGGTGCTGGTTGTGCCTGGCTGTGTTCACACCTTCCGGGCAGTCCAGTGTAGCCACAAGGGTTGGCCAAGGAAAGCTGCATTCTTGACAGCTCTGGTCTTTGAAACACAGCAAACCAAAAGCCACAGTCTGTTGGCTACCATGGTACTTTGTGGCTTCCCCCCGTCTGCTAAAATCAGTCTTCTGTAGGGGGTTAATCACGCTGGGGTCACGGAGGCAGGGACAGTGATTTTAATTCACTTGTACAGACTGTTAGGATCTCGTTTCACGCTTCTCACGCAAAAACAGTTGGTCTCAAAAACCCAGCTTGGAGCTTCTACGTATGTGTGTGTGAGTTTTAATCTCTAATCCATCATAAACCACTATTTAGTCAAATATATTAACAATTACTAGAGAAATGAAAAATTCAAAACTCCAAAGCTTACAAAATAAAAGCCTTTGACTTTTTATTAGTTTCAACAGACATAAAATTACTCTTGGCACCTTTTTTTAAAAAATTAATTTATTTTTAAAGATTTCATTTGAGAGAGAGAGTGAGAGCACGCATGAGCGGGTGGGGGGCAGGGGGAGAAGCAGACCCCCCGCTGAGTAGGGAGCCCGATGCGGGACTCGATCCCGGGACTCCAGGATAATGACCTGAGCTGAAGGCCGCCACTTAACTGACTGAGCCACCCAGGCGCTCCTCTTGGCACATTTCCAAAGCAGTTTCTAAGCGCTCCCTTGTCTATTTCGGTCCATACCTTGTGGCAAGCGGCCGGGCATGTTTGTCCACTGGCACTGTTCCGTGGAGCACACGGAGAGCCTGGGCTCGTGTCTGCAGGACCCGTGGTGGCGAAAGCCTGCAGAGCAGGGCTGGGCCATAGCTGGGGACGTGTCGTCATCTTGCATGGGAATCTTCACTGGGCTATGGGATGCCCCGGCTCCTTACACCCATTCTTGTTTCCTGGAGACTCCGGCTGCCGTTTGGACCATCACAACACAACCTCAGACTGCTTTCCAGGGTGCTGGACTCCCCCTTGCAAGACGGGGCAGACCCAACCCAGGGCGTGCAATGGGGGCATGCAGTTAATGCAAGTGATCAAATCCTGGTCGTCCCTGTTACCGAGGCCCTCGAAGCCTGGCAAAATTTGACACCAACCTTCATTTGAGCCCACATTGTCAGTATCCTACTGAACAGCAGAGCAGTTTTATCTGTATAAAAAGCCAAAGTTATTTGTACTCAACTCTTACTTTCTTTTTCTTCCCCAATTTCTTGCTGATGGAAGAGCATGAGGAAGGCAGGCCAAGTAGCTCCAACAGGCAGAAAACCAGAAAGAGTAACAGATGTTTTGATTTGCCTCGAACCCGGGGTCTGACTCTGAGCTCAATGATGTGTGTGTTTGGGGGCTCTTTTGCAGGGGTCATCCAGGGAGGAGCCCTGTCGAGCATTTGCACTCAGATCTTGGCAATGGTCAATCAGGAACAAAATAAAGTCCTGTGGATTCCGGCCTGTCCACTGTAGAAGAATGCCATTCTGGGAGTGGCTGTGGCTTGGCTGCCCACGGGCACGCCTGGCCCCGCTCGTGCCCAGCGGTCGGAAGTACACGTCTATCTGTATATAAGCACGGAAGGGAAGGATCCACGCACATGGACTCCAGAAGCACCTCCTCTGTAGCCCGAGGGCCACAGGTGACCAGGACCCGGGCCCAGGCCAGAAGACCGCGTTCCTCTCACACATGTGCTTTAAGTAAAAAACACAAGAGACTTTCGATAGAGGGGTTCAACACCACCCTTTCCTTAGCCAGCTGATCAGAGATGCTGCAAAGAGAACCTTTCAGATCACAAGTTTACAAGCCTTTTCTAAGTATTGGTTGTTTATGTTTACTTGAATGGCCCCGTGCTGTCGGTGCCCAGGCCTGCCCCCCACCCTGTCAACCCCCCACGTTGCTTTGGTGTTGGGTTTTGTTCCTGCTTTCAGCAAAACGACTCTGGAACCTCGTTGGCGGCTGCATTGCTCTGGAAGGTTCTTGTCGGTGGGACCAGAGCTTCAGCAAACTTACTGCTCCTCAGTGACCCCTCTCCAGGCAGGACACGGCGACTGCAAGGGCTCAGACATGGTGGCAGTAGGACCAGTGCCTTTGTGGGGCTGAGGCACCAGCAGCCATGTTCTCCCCTCCTGCGCCAGGAAGGCCACTTGGGCATCTCGCAAGCTCGTCGCTCAGGCTTTCTGTCCCGCCTTCTGTGTCCTCTCATTTCTTCTCTGTCTGCAATCGTTATGTCCGCCTTCTCGCTGGGCCGTCCAGGCTCCCTGGGGTCACCGCCATGCCATAGTTCCAGGCAGGGTGTAAACCGAGGGCTGGCACGTGCCACCGGGTCCTCTTTCGCTTCTGTAAATAATGACCGCTTTGTCAGTGCAATTTTTGCAGGGTAATTCTTAAACTCCATAGGATGGGGCAGGTACATCAGCTCTCTCTGATAGGAAGACACGTTTCAGACTTGGAACCAAGAGCTCTTAGGGGAAGCATAATGAGGAGTGTCCTCACTGTCAGACATCTAGGGAGAAGCTGGGGATCCTCTTAGTCTCGGTGACAGCACTCCCGGCAGAAACAGTACCCCACGAGGGCGTCTTTGGGTTTTGGGGGTTTTTCTTGTTTTGTTTTGTTTTGTTTTTGCACTTCTGACGCTGGATGTCTCTGGCTGAAGATTTGATGTGGTTCCTCCTTAAACTGTGCGTCCTGTTAATAATAGGTACTGTACTGGGCTCCGTGTAAGCGCCACTGGGGTAGGACCTATATTTTAATACTGTTCCTAACATTTCATTTTACTAGCAAGAAATCTTTTATTTCATTTTATTCTTTGTAATTCTAGACACTAGATTGTAGTTTAGCTAAACTGACGTTTTTAAAAAAGGGATCTATTTTCTTGTACAGTTGTTCAAAAGAGACACGTGTCAGTCCTCAGTGCTGCCCTTGGTCTCACAGGTACGCGCCTTCTTCTAGCTCAGACAACCAAGACGGACGGCGGGCTGAGGCCCTCCTCGGTGCCGCGGGGCTGTTCCTCCGGGTCGCCGGGTCGCGGTCCGAGCGGGACTATGATGGTACAGTGTGCACAGGTACTGTTCTGACAGACTGGGATTTTCTGTACTAAAACCTTACTTTGTATCAAAAGTTAAACAGACTTTAGTACAATAAATAAAGGTCAATTTCTGTAACTTGTTGTCATGAAGATAGCGGTCTTTTTTTTTTTTTTTTAAAGATTTTATTTATTTATTTGCGAGAGAGAGAATGAGAGACAGAGAGCACGAGAGGGAGGAGGGTCAGAGGGAGAAGCAGACTCCCTGCCGAGCAGGGAGCCCGATGCGGGACTCGATCCCGGGACTCCAGGATCATGACCTGAGCCGAAGGCAGTCGCTTAACCAACTGAGCCACCCAGGCGCCCAAGATAGCGGTCTTTTAAATTGGTTTTCCATCGGTTCCCCACCCCTTGGCTCTCTTTTATTCCTAAATATGAGATGGCTTTCCTCCCCTCTGCAGCAGGTAGCTGGAACTGGCCGACGTGAGAGGTTCTTTCCAGCGCTCCTGATCCCCAAGGTGCCCCTTTTCCCTGCTGCATCAGCACCTCTGACTCCCTCCTAACCTCCCATGCGTCCATCTGTCCTTCCATTCGTCCAGCATAGTGTGGATGGTGGTTGCAGCCAGGCACCTGATTTGTGTAAGATTCAGATCGCGCCCGCAGGTACTTACATTCAGGGCTGCGAAGAGCGAAAGGGATTTGAAGGATGCTGGGATTTCCTGATGTTCTCAGTCAGACCTGTCTGCAAGTGGGTGAGGCCCAGGTTGGGTCCCCAGGGTGTAGAAGGCCTTGCCTAGCATGGGGGCTGCATTGTGATACCAAGTAGAGCTCTCTGGAATTCCAGGGTGGCAGGAAGCCCGGGCTGGCCTCTTTAAATGCCCCGAGTCTGGGTCAGGGAAGAGTCCTCCTCCTCTGCTGTTATGGCCTGGAGGAGGCGGGGGCACGGTGTTGTGGAAAAGCCTCATGCTGCTGCAGTGACCTGGCCAACGGGGGCAGACTTGGGTTGGTGCCTCCTTAGTCCTTTGTGACTGCATAAAGTTCCATTGTGCACCTGCGGTCTTGGCCTCACCTGTGGCCACAGCAGTCACGGGGCTGCGCGGGACTGTGGAGGTGTGGGGGGCTGGTGCAGCTGGCTGGGGCCCAGGGCACATCCCTCTTGCCCACGTGTGCCCAGCCATCGGGCTGCCCACACCTCCCCGACAGCCCAGAGCCAGTGCTGACCCAAGAGGGGCAGTTGCTGCACGGACTTTGTCACCCACCTGGCAAATGGGGGCGGCAGCTACTTGTTTTAGGAACGGTTCTTTTCAAGAGGCCAGTGATGCCAAAACCTTAACGGTTTGCATGCGCGGCTTTGCGAGTGACCTCTTCTTTGAAATTTTTCTGTATTTTCCAAATTTTCTATAGGGAACTTGGTTTTCTTTTATAATTACAAGGAAAAAATCCCACTCTCTTAAAAATGGAGGCCAGCTAAGTTGCTGAGGTCACGAACTGTTTCTGGATGTTGCCAAACAGCGCTGAGGGAATTCGTGCTCGTCTCCAAGCCATGCCGGGCCTGGGGCAGGGGGAGGGGTGGAAAGGGAGAGGTGACTTTTGGTTCCAGCTGTGAGGCCTTGGACGGATCACAGTGGTGGCCTCAACACCTGGCCTTTGAGGACGGTGCAGACTAGATAATCTCTAAGGCCCCTTCCCAAGCTGACATCTGGGATAGGGGCAGGGAATGGGACTTCAGCAGAACTCCAGATCTGGGGAGCCATCCCAGAGGCTAGAGGAGCCCCTGGACACCTCACGCTTAGGAGTGGAAGCCAAAGGGGCCCAGACTAGGAGCCAAGCACTGGCCCAGAGTCTCGGGCCTCTCCTTGGCTGCAACGAAGGAGCTGGTGCAAGAAGGCTGCCCTGCTGCCCACCCTGGATGGACAGGGCAGAGGACCACTTGGGTCAGATACCCAGGACGGAGAGAAATGCAAGCAAGTGCAGGGCGGTCCCCCGAGCCAGCATATGCTCACAGGGAGCCTGCGGCTGGCTTCGGAATGATGACTCACAGGGCGCAGGGCTGTGAGGCTGGACCCCGGACAGCTGGGCCTTCGCCGCACCCCCCCCCCCCCGCCCCCGCTGGTGTGCTGACTTGCAGGTTTCATCGACCTTACTTCATCTGTTCTTAACCATGTCGGTTCGTACCTTCCCGAGTATAGTCTCTGGCCTCTTGATGGTTCCCCCTTAAGTTCTCTTTGCGATTATATGAGTTTTTATATATATATTCAACTGTGAAATATCTCCTACATACAGAAGAGCACGTACAATGTAATCGTACAGTCTAAACAAAAATAAAATGGGCAGTGTATTCATCTTCAGGGAACAGAACACTACCAGTCCCTTAGAGGGCCTCTTATGCCCAACGTGGTCAAATTCTCTACCTTTTCCACCAAAGTGAGCACTGCACTGATTTGTGGTTCAATTATCTCCTCACTTTCCTGTTTTGATCCCCAGTGGGGATGCCCTGAAACAATGTAGTGTCCAGTTTTGACCACACCTGGCGTCAAGCACAAACGGAGCTGTGTGGGGAGAGAACAGTATTGCCACTATTAGGGGAAGTCGGCCGGAAAGAGTCATGCAATCTCTGGGTCTGGCTCTGGGTGAATCTCCACTTCCCTGGGGATTTACCAGCGCCCCTTCTGGGGAAGTCAGCGAGCAAGGACGGGAATGGGTCCTGGGGGTACTGGGGCCTCCACACACCAGGTCCTCACTGTCTGCGGAAACGGTCGGAGGGCTTGGGCTGCTGTTGGTTGGCAGGCTGACTGCTGCCGTCCTCTGGACTCTGCCGGCGAGTCAAAGACGCATCTGTGGGGTGGAATGCTGGTCTGGAGGGCAGGACTCTTGGCAGCTCGCGTCAAGACAAGCCGAGTAGAAATGAGAACGTGCACCAGGATCACTGAATGTTCTGCTCTGAGCTAAGCCAATGAAGACAGAGGCACTGGTGCGAACAGCCCTTCACGTCTCCATCTTGAGCCCCTGCCCCAAAGCAGACTCATTGTCCGTGAAGTCTAGTGACCGCTCTCGTGCTCACGCCTCTCCTCTGCTGTCCTGAGCATTTCCTGGGGATTTTCCCCATTTCTTTCTTTGGCTCTCCTCTCTGTTGATGGGTCTCCTGCATCCTTTGCCGCTTGTGAGGGGAAAGGCTCCATCCTTGATGGGAATTCTTTCTCCCCGGGAGGGTGACTCTGTTTACCTTCTTCTGACACTGTCTTCTAGAAAAGTTCTGGATTAAGAAAAAAGCAGTCTGTATGCACCCCTTTCTACGGATTGGCACCCTTGGGTCGGGAGAGAGTTCATCAGTGCCAAGGGCCCAGATAACAAGGCCTGAATGTGCACCGACAGCCGTTGTGGGGCTTCATCCCTCTTACTGGAGCTTTGGTTATTTGTGTGTCCGACATGCTGGCCTGGGTCCCTCCCTTTCTGATCTCCCGTCAGCAGCATTTTGTCATTTCGCTGCTCTTTCATGAAGATTCCCTCAACTTCACCTTTCAGTCCCTTCTAGTGAGTGCTCATCTTTGCTATCACATTTTTAATTCCCAAGAACTCCTTATTTTCTGAATGTCCGTCTTCATATCACTCTGTATTTGTCTCATGGGTATGATGTTTTATCTGAACGTAGATTTTTTTCCCCTTTGTCCTTTCTCATCAATCTAATTTCTCCGTTTTCCCCCTATTTGTCTTGGTCTCAGTCTTGCCCATCAGAGGATTGGACCTCTGGCATCTCAGATTCCCCAGAAGAGTCCTCTGGGCCCTGACTGGAAGGGTTGGCCTGGCAGCCATTGTGGGGGAAAGGCTGGTACTCTGCAGTCAGCATTCAATATGGCAGCACACAGCCACTTCTGTTTTCAGTGTGGGACCAATCCTCTGGTATGTCCAGAAAGCTCTCTGAACACCTCCCTGACTTCTGCCGAGTTGAGGGAAATGCAGGAGCCCCAGAGCTTGGTCTCTGTCTAGCCTTCCTGAATTCCTCATTTAAGCCATCCTCTCTACCCTGAGTTCTAGAAGGAATGATGCCTCAGTTCCTTGCACTCGAAGATTCCTTGCTTTCTCATGTTGTTTTAGGATTTGGCGTGCTCAGGTCAGCTACATAACTTGCCGCTGGGCCGTCTCCTTTTCATCTTCTAAAGTGAGTTTGTGGTGGCTGTTTCTCTGTTCTCCCCATGTTTCCGAATTTATGTCTTTCTAAAAGAAATCCTTTTCCTCTATTTACTTTGCCTTAATGAGGTTTTACTGGAGGAACTAAATTAAGTTTATGTATCATTCTGTTCTTTTTATCCCAGAAGTAAGGTTCACCTTGTCATGTCCCTTTACTCTCGTTTTTACTCTCACTGGGGCTTGGAAGGACCTAAAACGCATACTCATTCCTTCAGTGGCAGAGCCCTCTGCCAATTGGTGTGTCAGTCAGACCTCCATCAGAGAGGCAGGGCCAGTAGGAACCAGTATGATAGTGTGTAACTTCAGAAATCTGCTTCAAGCCGTGGGCTTCTGTGAGTGGGAGTACGGCTGATGCGCGTGAGGTCCACAGGGCTGGGAGTTCCGCCTGACGGTCAGGAGCAGGTGGGGCTCCCCGGCATGGACTGACAGAGGGAAGAGTGGACAGGTGGGACTCCACAGGAGAGCTGAAGCTGTGTCTACATGTGCAGTTTCTTCCCCCCTATTTTTAGGGAGGTTTCACCTGTCCAGGCCTTTCCAGGCTTCTGCTTCTAAGGTCTTTCGACTAACGAATCAGCCTCCCCCACATTATCTAGGATACTTCCTTACTCTTAATGTCAACTGATTAGGGGCTTTCATGCAAATGGAAAATACCTTCACAGCAACACCTAGTGTTTGAGTAACTGGGGACTGTGGCCTAGTCAAGTGGTCACATCAAAAAAAAAAAACAAAAACATCACTGGGGTATTTGCCAATTATTTACTTAACCAGTTCCCCACAAATGGGCGTTCAGATTAAGTTTGCTGTTGTTTATAGACTTATTTTTTGTAGACTTAATTTAACTTTATCTTCTATGTGGAGTTTGTACTTCTCAGATAAGGACGCTGAGGCTTTAGGCAGTTACAGGAAATTCCCTGAGACCTTTTCTTATGCCATGTTACCTTTGGGATAAAAGCA